ATGCCAGAAGGTAGGTTAGACCATGTGCTTTCTGGGAATTTGGGGAGAAGGTCTTTATTTCGTTAATCTTCTCTCTGTTTCACTTGATTCCCCCCCCCGGTATTTTTTTCTTAATTTCAGGTAAAACATTTTTAACATAATTTTTTTTTAATTTTCTGTTCCAAATTGCCTCTCTCCCTCCCTCCCTGCCTCCCATTCCTCTTCCTTGAGAAAGCAAGCAGTTTGCTATAGATTCTACGCGTGCCATCACGCAAAGCATTTCCATCCTCCCCATCCCCCGGTTTGCATCAGATGACCTCACACCCCAGAAGGGTATGGCGAAACATGAGGAAGTGTGTGAAGCCTGGGGAAGGGCCCAGGCAGGGCCCAGGGCAAAAGAGAAGAGCTCCCGCATATGCTAGAAAGAGTGGCATCGAGACTCCTCAGTTCCCTTCAGTCCAGTGCGCCCCCCCCACACACACACTAAGAATTTAAGTGCTGCAGTTATGGTGCCTCATATACTGTTCTAGGTTCTAAGCGGGCAAAGGCAGAAATGGCCCTGGCCTCAGAGAGCTTACTTTCTATCCCAGGAGACAAAATGTGCATCAGTAAGCACATACAAAGAAGGTAGAAGGCAGCGGGGGAGTGTGGGGAGCGGACCAGGAGAAGCTTCCCAGAGCCCAGCCTGGGAAGAAGCTCAAGATTCCCAGAGGCTGAGGTGAAGAGGGACTGTATCCGACCTGGACTTGTCAGCCTGTGGAGGATGGGCTGAAGAGCAGGGTGAGGGTGCTCAGGGAAGATGGAGCCGGGTGGAGCTGTGTGAGTGGGGAGCAGGGGCCAGGCCGAGCCCCAGTGACGTGAAGGATGGGGGAGCCCCTGGCACAGGAGAGCCTGGAAGAACATAACCTAGGGGGAGATGGGGAGCTTGGAGAGGCCTTTGGGACATCTCGGCACTGTGGGGCTGCACTCAGGAGAGGGTCTGGTGTTGGAAGTGTTGAACCCCTGTGAGGGTAAGAAAGGGTCTAGAGAGGGGAAAGTAGACAGACATCCACGGGCAGGCCGGAAAAGGGAGAAGGAGGAGGGGCAGTGGCCAGCAGTGTTGTGAAGGCCCAGAGAAGGAGGCTGTGCCAAGTAAAGTGAGGGAGAGTGTCAAGCGAGGCCTCATGTAGGCCACCATCACATTCCCTGCATGACCCAGAGCGCACAGCTCTTGTCATTTCCAAGTGTAGAAGAGAAATTGAGTCATCTGGATTCAACCCCCTTTTATGAAGTCCCTACCTGTAAAGCTGTGTGCCGAGGCTGGGTGGTAGAGAAGGATAGAAGGTTGCGCCATCCCTGCCCTCAAGTATCTCCTAGTCTGCTAGCGCGGGAGAAGAAATGTGCACGAATAGAACAGGTTAAGGAACAAAATGCTCTGAGAGATGGAAGGGATTGTGTCTGGCTGGAAGGCTTCAGGGCAGAGGCAGAGGAGAGGGGAGTGTGGCTCAGGCAGGGAAGCCAGCCTGACAGAGGAGACTGAAATCATTCTGAAGGTGTTTACTGAAAAAAATTATGTGAAAAGGCACGGAAGGAACTGGGCTACGAACAGCCTCCATTAGCAAATCGTCCAAGCAATTGGAGATCCATTGTGCTGGTCTAGAGAGGCAGAATTTAAGAGAGATGAATGTCAAATTCTCCAGTTGGGTTTAAGAAATCAACAGTGTGAATACAGCATGAAGAAGACACGGCTAGACAACACTGTGCTTGGAAAGGGACAAGCCCGGGTGTCCAGAGCGGCATGGCACTCGTCAGAGACTTCCTGGGGCCAGAGTCAGTAAACAGAGACCAAGTGGGTGCTGTGTGCCAGGCATGGTGCCGAGTGCCGGGCTGCCCCTGCCGCGGGGAGCACCAAGGGGCTTTTAGACGCGTGTAGGCCAGCCAAGACTTGAGATGACCTGGGGAGGGGTCGCTGAGCTGGCTGCATCTTACGGGGTGAGCCGTTCTGGCGGCAGGTGAGAAATAACGATGCAGCCTTAGTCCACACCGGGTGAACAGGTCGACTTCTGGGTGCCATTATCAGGAAGCGTTGACCAGCCTGAATGTCCAGCGAAAGGCAGCTGAGATAGCGAGGGGACTAGAGGCCGAGTCACATGAGGATGAAGAGTGGGGGCTGTGAGCTGGTGTTCTAGGGTTCAAGGAAGGCACAAAGTGGGTCAGACTCGAGCCATGTGGAAGGAACAACTTGGTTGTGCTCAGGGCTGTCCAGAAGTCAGCCATGGCTTTTAGTGGGTCTCTGAGCCTCGGCCAGGTGACCACATATGCTGTCGATCCCTATTCACGTGTGGCTTCTGAAGGGCCTTCCAGCCCTGAGGGTTTGTGAGCTACTGAAGGCGTTGGAGCAAGAAGGGGATGTGATGAGATCGGTGCATTAGGAAGGTGTTTTTGGCAGTTCTGTCAGAATAGAGACAGAGAGGCCAGCCAGGAGGCCGGACGGTAGCACGGCAGGGTGACAGGCCACAAGGGCCTGGCTTAGGGTGGCAGAGGCGCTGAGGAGGAGAGGAGAGGACAGGACAGGTGGCGTGGCAGCTGATTGCATATGGGGATGAGCAGGAGGCGGGGCTGAGCGTGACTGGCAGGATAAGGATGCTGACATTGGAGTGGGTGAGGTCACCTCGGGGAGAGTGGTGGGGGAAGCAGGTATGGGGATGTGCCAGGAGGAGCGGGTACCCTGAGAAGGCATGAGCAGCAACTGGAGGTGGAGGGGCAGAGCCCGGCCCCTCCGAGACAGTGTCCGGCAAGCGAGAGGGCTCGGAGTGAGTCGGGTGCTGCTGGAGCCAGCTTTGGGGTAAGCAGGCAGGAGAGTGAAGTGAAACGGCCCCTGCCCACGAGGAGCTTACACTCTAACAGGGAAGAAAATAGTAATATGTGCACGTCTCTGTGAAGATGAATACAAGGCAGTTTGGGCAAAGTGAAGGAGCACAGGCCTCATCTCTCCAGTAGGGCTTGACTGGAATCTGGAGGGAAATGAGGGATTCCCAGAAGCCGAGGTGAGGGATGGGCAGTGAGAGGACCCGGAGACAGAGCGCGGAATGGGTGGAGTGAGAACAGCAGCCCACAGAGGGAGGCAGGAGAGCTTCTGCTGCCTGTGGAGATCAGGATGGGGGAGGAGGAGACCGCCAGGCCACGACTGCGTGTGCCGGCAGCCTTGGGATGAGAATCCAAGCTCTAGGCTGGCTTCCTCCCCTGGCCGGCTGCTCCCTGTTGGCTGTGATCTCATGGCATGATGCCATTTTCCAAGCTAAGGATGGTCTTCTGAGGGGCCTCGGGAAGCTGAGGCCAGGAGCTTCCTGGTGTTGGGGCAGCCCTGGGCTCCTCCCAGGTTTGTCTGGTGCAGCAGCTGTCCCAGCTGAAAGGCTGAATGCCAGTGCTGATTGGGTGTGAGGCACTGGGGGGAAGAGCACGGTTCCTACCCTCAAGGTGCTTATAATCTAGTCTGTCCTGGGAGAGCCTTAGCAGGCAGAGGGCCTGGAATTCTGGTCAGATCCATCATAAGAGGAGAGCAGCTGCCCAAAGGCGTAATGGTGAGGGCTTGGTGGAGGGCTCTCTAGGCCAGGTCCTGCCTGGATTCCATCTTGGAGGCCCCTCCCTCCCAGCATGGAGACTGCTGTGTTTTGTTGAGGGCTAGGGCCCAGGGTAGCCTCAGGCCTTCCTCAGACCTGCCCCTTACCTGCATTCTTATTCCTGCCAGTGGAGCTGCCTTCTGCCAGCCATCAGGCCCCCAAGGCCCGCTTCTGCTTCTGTCCTCCTGTGTCTCTTCTCCTCCATTCCTTACTTTCCATCCCCACTGGCCCCATCCTCATCTTCTGCCTCTTGCCCAGTTGACTGTAATGACTGGATTCTCAGCCGTCATGTTCTTCCCTGACCCAGTTCAGTGGTTTTCTGCCATCCAGGCCTCTCAGCTTGGCGATCCAGGACCTCCACAAAGGGGCCTCGCCTTACCTTTTGGTACTTCCGTCCCCATACTTTCTACATGGCCCATGACGCCTTCCCTGAGCTCCCCAGGTGGGTGTGAACCCCTCGCCCCCCAAAGTTCTTGAGCTGGGTGCCGCTGCTAAGCATTGTAGAGATGCAGCACCTAGAAGTTGGGATTTGGACCTCCGCTCCCTGCTGGATGATAAGCTCCCCGAGGGCAGGAGCTGGGATGCACAAGCAGGCGCTCCCATTGGCCGGGCCAGTCTTTGGGCGCCTCAGACGTGTGCCTTGAACTCCCTGCCTCTAGCAGGAGGCTAAAGTGCTGCCCCTTCTCACCTTGGCTCTGGGCCTTCCTTCCCCACCTTCTGCAGGAGACCCCTCCCGCCTCCCCAGCACCACCACTACCAAATGGCCTTCCATCTACTCTGTGTGTGTGTGTTGTCCGTGCCGAGCTGTTTCCGCGTGCTCTCCCTCAGGAGAATGCGAGCTCACTGAGGAAAGCGACTGTTCTTGCTGTTTGCAGAATCCAGGGTTCGAGCAGGGCCTGGCACGTAGTAAGTGGATTTGGAATGGGCCGAGAGCTGTGTTCTGATCCTCGCTCTCGCCCTTCCTCACTGGATGACCTTAGGCAGTCAGTAAACCTTTCTGCCTCAGCTTTCTCCCCATAAAACGGAGGTAATGATACGCAGTGTCTGCTTCGCAGGATTCTGTGTGAGCAAGCATTTATGAAGTGCTACCTGTGTGCCAGGTCATGTGACAAACGCTGGGGATGCAGAGAAAGGCGGAAACACAGTCCCTGTTCTCGGGGAGAGTGTTGTCAGTCAGCTAATATTTATTAACTGCCTACTGTGTGCCACATGCTAGGGATACAAAGAGAGGCATGGTTTCACAGGCAGTTGTTTTGAGGGTCAGTGAACAGCACGCACATCACGCGCAGCCAGCCTTTGTGGACCGTGGTGGGCGCCGTTCTTCTCCTTGGGGAACGAGCAGGGCTCTTGGGGCCATGGGTGTATTTGGCTGATGCCCTGCCCAGCCTGTCCCCCCTTCACTCTCTGCTGTCTCCCCCACAGCATCCGTAGTGTCATGCAGAAGTACCTTGAAGACCGAGGGGAAGTGACCTTTGAGAAGATTTTCTCTCAGAAGCTTGGTGAGTGAGGGTGGGTGGCGGGAGCAGGGAGGTATGGCCTGGCTCCTGGGCCCCACTTGGAGCCACGGTGGCCCTGTGGAGCACTTGTGCCCCGGGGGGCCTGCTTCCCCACTGGAGGCTGGGCAAGCTCCTCCTTGGGTTTTTTGTTTTTCTGAGCTGCAGCTTCCCCTTGGCCAAGGCTGCAGCTGTGCTAAGGCCCGTTGGTGGGACCAACAGGAAGGGGCGGGGCCCTTCCTGTGGAGGGGGCCCAGGCTCTGCCGGCTGCTGGCCAGCTGCTCTGCTCCTGTTGCCTAGTCTCTAGCCTTTAAGGCCCATCCCATCGTTGGGGGGGGGCCCACAGATTGCTTGAGGCCTGGAGGGTCCCCCCCCAACTGCCAGGACCTATCCCCAGATGTAGCCCTCCCACACGACCTTGGCTAAGTCTCTCCCTCCCTGCCTCTCCCTGGCAAGAAATCGTGTAGAAGCCAGGAAAGCTGGCCAGCATCTGTGCCCCTTCCATGGCGGTAGGGTTCACCTCGACCTGACCTTGTGGACAGTTGGGAGCCTCAAAAAGAGGCTTGTGGGTAATGCCCACCTTCCTTGAAGAGTCTGGTCAGCAGTGTCCTGTGAACAGGAGGCAGAGGTCAGCCCACAATGGTGCCTTGGGATTGATGGCGGAGGTCAAGGAATCCTTGGCTCTCGGCCTCCCCTCTAGGCACACTGCTCAGTTAGAATGACTGTGCCCCTTTCCCCGGGTGAGGAAATTCTGAAGTGAGCCCCAGTGAGGCAGTGCGGGGCTGGGACCTGAGTCCATGCTCTGCCCTTGGTGCATGACCTTGGGCAAACCACTTCCATCCCTTGGCCCCATTTCTGTCCTCTGTAAAATGGAAGGGCTGGGCTTGGTGGTCCCTGAGGCCCCTTCCAGCTCTGATCTCTGACAGGCCCCCCTTCCTTCACCCTTTGTCCCCACATTCCTTTCCCAAGGTGCTCCTGGCTGACCGCAGGGGCCCCCCAGCCTTCTCCTCCATCCTGGGGTGGCTGCCAGAGAGGGCCACAGAGCCGGTTTCCATGTGAAAGACCCCTCTAGCGTGTCCATGGGGTGGGGGTGGGGATGTGGTAAGGATGGTGTGGATGGCTTCATGGTCTGATACCAAGAATAGACCTGGCTGTGTCCCTGTTCTCCACTGGTGTCCTGCCTGTGGGCCTCAGTTTACTCATCTGAAAGTAAGGAAGTTCATCTAGAAGTCTTCTCTGATCTATAACTTACACACACACACACACACACACACACACGCGCGCGCGCGCGCTTCCATTAAGTGGAGGATCTTCCTCACCTGTGTCTTTCCTCACCTGTACTCTCAGGCTACCTGCTCTTCAGAGACTTCTGCCTGAACCACATGGAGGAAGCCAAGCCCCTGGTGGAATTCTACGATGAGGTAGGTGGGAACCTGGCCTCAGTGGGGAGCCACCTCCTCCTTTCAGCTCTGCTCTGGCTGAGGTGAGGGGTGGGGTCCTTGCTGTCAGATGGGGCCTGGATCTCCTGGCTGTGGACCTGCCTTCCTTGTTCATTCCACCTGGCAGAAAGCCCTCTCCAGAATATATGGGACGCTGTGGCCACCGATGACATATGTTCAGGCCCCAAAGAACAGTACAGATATTAATGCTAAAGAAAGTCATGGAGGGAAACCTTTTGCATGGGCTGATACTGGAGCAGGGACCCTATATGACTCCTGGGGATTTGTTGATCAGATCAAGAAATACGAGAAGTTAGACTCAGAGGAGGATCGTGCCATCAAAAGCCGAGAGATCTTTGACTCGTACATCATGAAGGAGCTGCTGTCCTGCTCCCATGTGAGTGCCCAGCCAACCTCTGACCCTCTAATCCATACTTGCATCAGCCCTGGTAGGAGAAATATCTTTGTTGCCTTGGGCCAGGCTAACCCAGAATCTCCCAAGTGATTCTTCACTGGGAAGGGGTGGGCTTTGAGTTGGAAGAGGGGAGGGGAGCCCAGGGCTCTCGTGGACTCAGAACTGACAGTCACCCATCTCCCTTTCTTAGCCTTTCTCCAAGAGTGCCACTGAGCATGTACAGAGCCGGCTCCTGAAGAAGCAGATACCCCCTGACCTGTTCCAGGTAGGTCCTTGTGTTTTTGCCAACCATCCCCACCCTGCCTTAGCGCCCCAGCCTGCTGTAGGCCTCCTTTGTCCTTCCCATCCTAGCCCTTGACCCTGCCCCTGCCACCATCAGGTTGGTCCATATCCTTTTACACAGTGTGATTAGAGGTGGGCAGTCCCAGGCTGAGCCTTAGATAATGTCACCCTACCACACTCCAGCAGATGTCTTGGGCCATCTTAAGGTCTGGGGCCTGTACCCTATCATGAGACCCTCCCTAAGTCCTGGGCTTGGGGCCTTTTTCCTTAGCCATACATTGAGGAGATTTGCCAGAGGCTTCGGGACAACGTATTCCAGAAATTCATTGAGAGGTAAGTTTGAGGGTCAAAGTGGGAGAAGATAGAGGGGAAAGTAGAAAGTCTAGGAGAGGCAGGAAGGGAAAAAAAGCCTGGGCAGAGAGCAGAGCCTGGGTAGCACAGAGTGAGGGCCCGGGCCTTGGGAGGCCCCCTGGAGGCAGGCAGACCCATGTGGTGTCCTCTTGTCTGAGCTCTGCCAGATCTGCTCAGGGCACGCCTACGGCAGGGAGGCTCGTATTCACAACTAGGCTGTGAGCTCTTCAGACTCCAGGAGGAAGCCTTGGCAGCCAGCACATCTGCACTGGGCTGTGCTCAGGCCACAGTGCTCGACATGCTAATGGTTACAGGCTGGGGTCATATAAATGAGAATGAAGAAGGGCAGCCAGGTCCCTTCGCCGGCCTCCTGCACCCCTGGGGTGCCTCTGGACAGCAGGCGCCCCAGGAGAGGGCTGGACCCTCCCTGCCACCCTGGCCCCCCATGTCTCCCTGCTGAGACGTGAGGCTTCCTTCTCTTCCAAGGATGGGCATGGGAAGCAGGCCGGGCCGGGCCAGCAGCCTGGCTCACTGTGGCCACGGCCGCCCTCTCTGTTTCAGTGAGAAGTTCACTCGGTTTTGCCAATGGAAGAACGTGGAGCTTAACATCCATGTGAGTAGGCGCTAGGAGCCAGAGGCCCAGGGTCATGTGCGCCTCAGGGCCTTTTTCAGGGGTCACAGAGCTGAGAGGAGTCAAGCCAACCCCTCGTTTTACAGATAGGGAAACTGAGACCCAGAGAAGGGAAGGGGCTTGCCCAAGATCACACAGAGGCAGGCTTTGAACCCTGCTCTTCTGTCTCCAGAGCCATCACCTGGAGCCCAGGGGCAGCTGTTGCTCCTGTCCTTCCCTTGGGAGAAGACGGGGTTCTAGTCTGGCTCTAGGGGGTCCTGGGAAAGCAGAGGGAAGAAAGAGACAAATGCGCTGGCATTTTGGAGGCAGCGGGATGTCGGGGCCATAGGCCCCTCAGGCCCCGTGGTACTAGGGCCTCAGCTGGGGGGAGGGGGGTAAGGGGAGGGGTGTGAGGCCTCTTGGGTTACGCTCACCGAGCCTCTCCTCCATCAGCTGACCATGAATGACTTCAGCGTGCACCGAATCATCGGCCGTGGTGGCTTCGGGGAGGTCTACGGCTGCCGGAAAGCCGACACGGGCAAGATGTGAGTGGCCCTGGCTTCAGACCGGCATGCAGCCAGGAGAGGGGATCAAGGGGACCCCGAAGGGAGAGGGGAGGGAGACGCCCCTAGCTCTGGTCCCTTCCCCCTCCCAGGTACGCCATGAAGTGTCTGGATAAAAAGCGTATCAAGATGAAGCAGGGGGAGACGCTGGCCCTGAATGAGCGCATCATGCTTTCTCTCGTCAGCACTGGGGTGAGCTGGGCATCGGGACGGGGTCTCCCTGCCCCCTTGGCTCAGCGCTGGGTACCCTCCTCTCATCCTTCTCTTCTCTGCCTCCCCCAGGACTGCCCCTTCATCGTCTGCATGTCCTACGCGTTCCACACTCCCGACAAGCTCAGCTTTATCCTGGATCTCATGAATGGTGAGCTCTCCCTCCTGGGACCTCCCCTCGGGCCTGGCTGCCTGGGTCCCAGGCTCCAGCCTCTCCGTGTTCTGGCCTTCCCTAGGCGGGGACCTACACTACCATCTCTCCCAGCATGGGGTCTTCTCGGAGTCAGACATGCGCTTCTATGCTGCCGAGATCATCCTGGGCCTGGAGCATATGCACAGTCGATTTGTGGTCTACCGAGACCTGAAGGTGGGAGAAGCCCTTCCACCCCCCACAGGCCCAGCGACGCCCCCAGCCCCTGAGCAGCGTCTCGTGCCCCCTGTCAGGCTCCAGAAAGTGGCGGGAGGCCCCATGACCATGGCAGGCTCCCCGCCCTTCCTCCGTCCTTGTCCAAGCCAGCACCGTCCCTCTCATGCTGCACGTGATCCCTGGCTGCCCCGGCCAGAGCTCCTGGTGCCCCTGAGCCTCCCCTCCCCCCAGCCAGGGACCTCCCCTTCCTGGTCCCCTGCTGCCCAGCCCCTAGACAGCTGTGTGTGTCCCACCTACAGCCTGCTAACATTCTGCTGGATGAGTTTGGTCACGTGCGCATCTCTGACCTGGGCCTGGCCTGTGACTTCTCCAAGAAGAAGCCTCACGCCAGCGTGTGAGTATGGGCCCCCCTGCGTGTTCCCCAGCAGGCCCCAGGCTCCCCTCCCTCCAGCCTAGCCTGGGCTCTTACGCTGGCTCCCGTGTCCCCGCAGGGGCACCCACGGCTACATGGCGCCCGAGGTCCTGCAGAAGGGCGTCGCCTACGACAGCAGTGCCGACTGGTTCTCTCTGGGCTGCATGCTCTTCAAACTGCTGAGAGGGTGAGTGGGCAGCCCCTGACTGTGCCTTGGGAACCGTGATCCTGCAGAGCATTCTGGGAGCCAGGGAAAAAAGCTGGAGAAGGAGGCAGTAAGAATGGCCTCCAGCCTCCCTGCCCTGGGGTCCTTGCGGCCTCCCAGAGTGAGGGAGCAGGTGTGGCCTTGGGGTCCGTGGAAGGCCTGCTTATACAAACGGAGGAGCGGAGGCTCATGGGGAAGATGGTCAGGACAGCGCTAGGTTCAGAATCAGCACGGGCTCTGTCACTGCCTGGAGCTGCAGCTGCATCTGCAGGGGGAAGCTGGCCTGGCAGAGGGAGGGGAGGCTGGGGGGTGGTACTCGGTAGCCTGCTGACCTCGTGTGGCCGGCCACCTTTCCCGCCCAGGCACAGCCCCTTCCGCCAGCACAAAACCAAGGACAAGCATGAGATCGACCGCATGACGCTGACGATGGTGAGCACGGGAGGCTGGTGCCAGCCCCTCGAGGGAGGCCGCAGGGATGGGCAGCCCAAGCCCGGAGCCCCCACTGGGGCAGCAGGGTGGCCGCTTGTCTCCTGCACATACATGGGGGCAGACGGGATAAGTGCCGGTCATCGGGAGGGATCAGCCCGTGGAGACCTTCCTGGGGCCTGTGGGGTGTGCCAGTAGGGCAGGGGCTGGGTGGCGGATGCCACGTGATCTGCTGAGGACCCCCGCGGCCTCCTGCCCCTGTGTTGTTGCAGGCTGTGGAGCTGCCTGAGTCCTTTTCACCAGAACTACGCTCCCTTCTGGAAGGACTGCTTCAAAGGGATGTCAACCGGAGGCTGGGCTGCCTCGGCCGTGGGTGAGTGGGCGCGCCGAGCGTCTGCTGCAGCTCAGCTTGGGCAGGGGGCGAGGCCAGGGATGGGGGCGGGGGACAGAGTTCTAAAGGTCGTCCTGCCCCTCCCCCAATCACCAACAGGGCTCAGGAGGTGAAGGAGGACCCATTCTTTAAGAGTGTGGACTGGCAGATGGTTTTACTGCAGAAGGTAAGAGCGTGGGCGAGGCTGGGGATGGACAGCGAGCTGAGCACCCCCAGCAGGGATGGCACAGCCTGGTCTCCTTGTGACAGTATCCTCCGCCCCTGATCCCACCTCGAGGCGAGGTGAATGCTGCTGACGCCTTCGATATCGGCTCCTTCGATGAGGAAGACACGAAAGGGATCAAGGTATGGGGGCTGGGCCCTGGGGGCAGAGGGGTGGAGAGGCCCAGAAGCCCCCATGCTCAGGACCGCCTCAGCAGCTGCCGCCAGGGAGCCAGTGAATGCGGGAGTCTAGCCCCAGCGCAGAGCCACGTCCTCTTGCCATCCCGAGGCCGTGGCGTCACTGAACCGGCGCGTGAAACCTTGACGTCTGCCCTTTCTCGTGCAGCTGCTGGACAGTGACCAGGAGCTGTACCGAAACTTCCCCCTCACAATCTCAGAGCGGTGGCAACAAGAAGTGGCTGAGACAGTCTTTGACACGGTCAACTCTGAGACTGACCGGCTGGAGGCCCGGAAGAAAGCCAAGAACAAGCAGCTGGGCCATGAGGACGGTGAGCGCCTGCCCTGCCCCGGGGCTCCTGCCCAGAGGCCCCCCAGCCCGGGGCGGAGTCTCTACCACGGCCTCCCTCTCTTGTACCCCTAGATTACGCCCTTGGCAAAGACTGCATCATGCATGGCTACATGTCCAAGATGGGCAACCCCTTCCTCACCCAGTGGCAGCGGCGTTACTTCTACCTGTTCCCCAATAGGCTTGAGTGGCGGGCCGAGGGCGAGGCGCCGGTAAGGAAGGAGCAGGGCTGGGCTGGGCGGGGCCGGGCGGGGCCGGGTCGGGCTGGGCCAAGCTGGGCTGAGCCAACCCGACCCACCCGGGCCAGGCCGGTTTGGCGTCGCCCCGGACGCCCTGGGCCGGGCAGGCTGGCTGCAGTCTGAGCAGCCTCACCGTTCCCTCTGTGGGGCCTCTGCAGCAGAGCCTCCTGACCATGGAGGAGATTCAGTCAGTGGAGGAGACCCAGATCAAAGAGAGGAAGTGCATCCTGCTCAAGATCCGAGGCGGCAAACAGTTCATCCTGCAGTGTGACGTGAGTCGGGGGAGGGGCCAGGCCTAGGGGCCACGTGGTACAGAGAGAGGGGGCTGCCACTGGGCAGCCGCCTGGGACTGCCTCGGCCTCTGAAAACGAAGGAGGGGGGCGGCGGGAACGGGGCGCGCCTTCCTGGGGCCTCTGCGGGGTTGGACTTGGGACGCGAGGCTGGCACGGGGGTCTCCCCGCCTCAGCCTCCCTGGCTGACCTGGGCTGGGCCGGGGCGGGGAGCAGAGCGACCCGGAACTGGTCCAGTGGAAGAAGGAGCTGCGGGACGCCTGCCGGGAGGCCCAGCAGCTGGTGCAGCGGGTGCCCAAGATGAAGAACAAGCCGCGGTCGCCTGTGGTGGAGCTGAGCAAGATGCCGCTGACGCAGCGGGGCAGCGCCAATGGCCTCTGACCCCCGGCCCGTCTGGCCGCCTGCCCCCGCCCAACCTTTTATGAACCTCTAATTTATTTTGTGGAATTTTTATTATTTTTTTTCCCGCCAAGCGGAAAAGGTTTGATTTTCTAATTATTGTGATTTCCTGTGGCCCTGCCTGGCCCTGTGGAAGGGGCCTGCTTGTCCCCTACACCTCCTCTTACCGAGGCCATGTAGCACCGCTGCTCTGACTGTGCCCTGGGACCGGGAGGTGGCCGTTTCCGTGTCTTTCTAGCAGGGACCAGGCAGGGTTCGATCTGGGGAAAGGCCTGACGCCCCTCCTGGGACGGGAGAAGACAGTCCAGTTCTCCCCCGTCCCATCTCCCGTGGGCAAGCCTCTTCCTTTCCCTGTGAAGTGGCTGAGGCCACGTGGTCTCAGATGCCACCTGGGCACCCCAGCAGACTGAGCCGTGCGTGTGCCCATGCTGCCCCAGCCATTGCATCCCCACAGTTGTATCTGCTAGGAGAGCTAGCAGGTTTGGGTGCCCCCTAACTGTGCCACTCAGGGCTTCAGTCATGGGAGCTCGCAGGATCGGGGTCCTACCTGAAGCTCTCCACCACAGTGCCCTGATAGGACTGCTGCCCGAGCGCCCCTACAAAAGTCAGGGGACCCGCCTTTGCCCCCCTCCCCTTTTCCCTGCCCATGGGATCACCATGTGTCCTCTCCTGGCTTGCCACCTCTGCTGAGGGCATCAGCTTCCGTGTGCCAACTCCCTGGCTCTGGCACCATTCAGGAAGGCAGGCTCTGGCCTGAACTGGAGGAGCCACACGGCTGAGCAAGATTAGCCAGTCTGTGCCAAGCACCGCCGTGGTATCAACTTCACCCTTCCCCCTCCCCATGCCTACCGATGCCCCTGCCCTACCGATGCCTCTGCCTTGCTTGGCAGGAGCCTTGCAAGCTTTCCCGGATTGTGCCAAATGGACCAGGCCTCGTGCGTGTCTCAGGGGAGCAAGTCTCAGGCTTAGCCACATGTTTCACTGGTGAGCCCAGAAAGAAAACTTGTGTCCTAACCGTTCCCCCCCCCACAGGATTTAGGATCGAGGCCGCAGGAGCCCCAGTGCCCGGTGGGGCCCATAGCTAAGTGTTGAGCCCCTTCCTTGCCCAGGTTGGGGCCAGTGTTACTTTGTCACTGTCTCCCCAGGGGCTGGTGGTGCCTGTGGCCCTGCCCTGGCCCCCATGCTGAAGTCCCTTCCTGGGTGCCCACCGCATGTTCCCAGCCTCCCTCCTACCCGTCCTGCTGCTGCTGCTGCCACCGCTGCGCAGTGTGTGATGTTCTCCCCGCCCGGGGCTGGGTCTATGTGTGATGCCCCTGCTACCATCGCGCCTACCTCCCCACCACCAACACTCCATGTGCGTTTCTTTGCCGATTTTTGAATGTGATTTTAAAGAGTGAAAAAAAAAAGATTGAGTTTTTATAAAAAAAAAAAAAAGGGTACCTGTCTGCATGGTCTTTGTGACTTGTGTCTGTCTAATGTTCTCCTGACTGGGGCAGAGTGGGAGGCTCAGGAGTAATCACAGAAAGGATGAACGGGCAACTCGCCTTTGCCACGGGATGCAGTGTCCCCTCAGATGCTCAGGTGCTGGTGTCCACAATGTTGAGAGGGCATGTGAGGACCCGTGGCCGAGGGGCCAGGCCTGCTGCACACCAGCCTGCCCATCTCCATCTGCCCCAGGGGCAGCAGCCTCTCCCCCCATTCCAGGCCCACTACCCACACCCAAGAGACCTTCTTCCTTTTTCCTCCTCTACCCTTCACTCAGGGAAGAGATGCCAGAGAGTAAGGGTATGGTGGTGATGGTGGCATGATCAAAGGTTCTGGCTTCAAATCCTAGCTCCACTACCTATAAGCTGGTGCTATGGGCAAGCAGTTTCACCTCTCTTGACTCAGTTTCCTCAACTGTAAAACATGTGAGACATGTGCCAGGAAAAGAGCCCAGGGTTTGGGAGGCAGAGAATGACCTGTGTTGACTGCCTATATGATCTTGAGCAGATGCCTCCTGTGGTGGGTAAAAGATGAAACAACTGAGGGAGCAGCTTCAGCGTTTCAAACATATCAATTTTTTTTTTTTGGCTAGGCAGTGGGGTTAAGTGACTTGCCCAGGGTCACACAGCTAGTAAGTGTTATGTGTCTGAGGTCGGTTTTGAACTCAGATCCTCCTGAATTCAGGGCTGGTGCTCTATCCACTGTGCCACCTAGCTGCCCCAAGTATATCAATTAAGTAGCACATACCAATTGCCCAACAAACCGGACCAGACCTCTTCAGCTTGGGCCTAGACCCCGAGTAATGGAGGAGACAGACTTTTATACATTAAAAACAATCAAATGAGGCCAATTAATTAAAAACCAATACAACGTTAGGTAACCTGATTTCTAATTTGAGGCAAGATGAGGGACTTTCCAAGTGGGGAGGAAGAGAGCAAACAGGGGCAATTCCCTGAAATGGGAAAAAGAGGTCACCCCCTCCCCCAAAGTGCCTGCAAACGATCCAAGGGACGAGGGCACAGCTGACCCGCCAGGAGGGGCTGGTTTTCAGAGAAGGCGCTGCAGGTGGATAATCGTGAGAAAGCTGCTGGCAGCAGCCTGCCTCTGGCTCGGACCTCACCTCCTCTCCACGGCCCTGTCACCCTGTGGTTGTTTGCTTGGGAGACTGTCAGCTCTCGAGGGCAGGGATTATCACTTCATGCTTATTCCTTCTTGCCTAGCACGTTGGCTCCTGTCTGGTGCTGTTAGGCACCAAATGTTTCCTGAGCTCTGGAGAAGGGGGGGGGAGGGGTCGGTCCTCCGCCTGAGACGATGATCGGTCCTGTGCTCAGAGCTGGGGGCGGCCCTCTGCCCTTTCTCATCCACCTCCTTGCTTGTGACTCATCATTTCATCCGACAAGTGGTTACTAAGCACTGCTGTCTGACAGAGACGTCGATCCTTCCGCTGTCTGGTGCTCGACCCTCTGGCCGGTGCTCGACCCTCTGGCCGGCTCCCTTGCAGAGAGTGCTCTTGGTATGGTTTTTTGGTTTTTGGTTTGGCAATTGGGGTTAAGTGACTTGCCCAAGATCATACAGCTAGTAAGTGTCAAGTGTCTGAGGCCACATTTGAACTCAGGTCTTCCTGACTCCAAGAGAATGTTCTTGGGGCAGGAACTGCCTGCCAGAGGTTTCCCTTCCACAATACTCATGCCCCCTGCCTGGAATACCCTCTCTTCGCCTCCATCTGATAGGAATCTTGGCTTTTTTCAAAGCACAGCTCAGGCACCAGTAGCATTCTCTTCTGTTTGAAATGACTTTGTCTTGCTTTGCATACATTTTGAATTTATTTACTTAGATGTATGTTAAATCAGAACTTCTTGGATACAATGTATATCAGGTTTACTCAGATACATGTTGAATCTTCCTCTCTTCCTGAGGGCAGGGACTGTTTTATTTCTGTCTGTATCCCCAGTAACTAACGAGGGCTTGGCACACGGTAGAGGCTTAATAAATGTTTGCTGAATTGAATCTGTAAAATGATCAAATTGAACCAGTCAGTCACGTGGGTGTGCAGGGGAGGATGCACACCTCTGGCGGGAGGGCTGCCGGACCCGTCTCAGAGCTGCTCATCCACCCTTGGTGTCTTCCTGGCACTTGACTCTCCCCCGTGGCTCCAAGAAGCTGTTGGGAGAGCAGTGGCCACACCCCAATAAACAGTTTAGCAGATGGGCTAAACCAGGTTCAGGGTAACCACCTGGCATCAAAGCCATCAGTAAGTCGGGGGGGGGATGTCCACCCCAAGCACGTGGAGCTTCTCCTGTCAGAGTGGGCAGAGGAGAACAATTTGTGCCAGCGGCCATGAAGGCAGCTTGAAGCAGGTGCTGTGGAGTGCTTAGAGCTTGGTCAGACATCAGAGACCCCAAGGTCATCCCCCGCATCCAGTCATCTTGACTTTCGTCTTACCGCTGGACTCCAGAGATTCTGGAGGCCAGAGTGAGGCTGGTGACCTACCACAATGCCTCACTTAAATCCAATTCATGTGCAAGTCAAGACATCGCCCTGTGAAATCGTTAGTCCTCTTTGAAAACGAAGGACAGACAACCACCAGAGCCGCAATAAGGCACCCACTATGTGCCGGGCACTGTGCGAAGTGCTTTACAAAACTGCATCAGTGCGCTAATGCATCGCTGGCGGATCTGTGAACTATCACGGAAAGTAGTTTAGAGCTATGTCCAAAAAGCGATTCAACTGTGTGTAGCCTGCAACGCAGCAATTCTGCTACTAAGTCTATATACCCCAGAGACATCAAAGAAAGAGGGAAGGGACCCACATGTACAAAAGCATTTATAGCCACTCTTCTGTGGTGGTGGCAAAGAACTGGAATTTGATGGGAAGCCCATCCTCTGGGGAAAGGCTGAACAAGCTGTGCTATGTGATTGTGACAGAATACTATTTTGTAAGAAATGATGAAGGGGATGATTTCAGAGAAACCTGAGGAGACTTGTATGAACTGATGCAGAGCCAGGAGAACAATTTATATAATAATAACAATATTACAAGGATGATCAGCTTTGAAGGACGTTGGTCCTCTGCCCAACACAATGACCAGCCAGAATTCACGAGAACTCACGATGAAGCATGCTGCCCACCTTCTGATAGAGCGCACGCACTCAGACTGCAGGCTGCAACATATATTTTTCAGACATGTCCAATGGGGGGATTTGTTTTGCTTGACCATACATGTTTGTAGCAGGGATTTTGCCTTTCTTTTTTTCTCAATAGGGGAAGGAAAGGGAGGAGAGAGAAAATGTGGATCTTCATTTAAAAAAAAACAAAACTAAAATTAAATCAAAAACAGGTCTGACCATGTCACTTCCCTGCTCATGAAACTCTAGAATCAAATCTAAACTCCCCTGGAATTGAAAGCCCTTCAAAATCTGGTTCCAACCCATGTTTCCCAAATCATTTCATAATACCCTCCTTTACACACCCATTGATCTGGTCAAACTGTCCTTAGAGTACCACATGCATAACACTCTACTTCCCATCTCTGCCATTTGCTCTGACCATCCCCCATGCTTCGAACACCCTCCACCCTCATCTCTGCCTCTTACGATCCTTAGTGATCAGAACAAGACTCAGTGCCCCATTCTCCACATGAAATACCATGTGAAGCCTTTCCTTACCCTCCATCCCAGCTGTTAGCACCCTTCCATCACCTCATAATTAGATAGAGATGCATTATACATTATACACAAATTATACGTTACACACACACACACACACACACTGTCCACTATATGTATATAGGCTTATAGGATCATAGATTTACAACTGGAAAAGCTTGTCTAGCCCAACCTCATTTTATAGATGAGGAAACTGAGGCCCAGAAAGGTGAAGGGCCTTGACCAAAGTCATACAGCATTAGTGGTAGGATTTGAAACCAGGTCTGACGTGTTGTCTCCAATGTGTTCCAACCACTAAGATCAAGCTCATGTAGAGTGTAAGCTCCTTGAGGGCAGAGACCATCCGACTTTTTCCTCATGTCCCCAACGCTGAGCGCTGCGCCCTGTACAGGTAGGCACCTAATAAATGCTTATTGATTGATTGACAGATATCAGGGTAAGTCAACTTGAAAGGGGTCAAGGAATGAGTGGGAAGTGAGGGAGTGGAGTGGAGGGAGAGAATAGAAGCCACTCTCTACAAGTTTTCCAAGGATAGCACTTGCTCTGAAGCAACTATTCCAACCCCCACAGATGCTGACGAATCAGTTCCCCCGAGCATGGCTATTATGACTCCCCTTAGGCTTCTAAGGGTAACTCTAGGGTGTGGGGGGAGGGGAGGGATGTCTTTTCACTGTAGTCACAAGCCTCCGCCAGTGTGCTTCCCCCTCTTGATTCTCAGTAGTTGGCCAAATCTAATCAGCTTTTTTAAAAAAAGTATTCACTGTTGTGGTGTAATTGGCACAAAACCTTCCCCTTCACCAAAGTCAATGACACACTCTCACCAGCACGTCCAAAGTCGAGGGGAAGGTGGGAAGCACTTTTGGTAAAAGGGCAATCCATAGCTCCTAGAAATTCTGTTTGCAGGAGTTCCCAAGATGTTTGCTTGGAGTATAATGTAGTTTCTTGTTTTGTTTTGTCTTTTAATTTTTTTTTCCCTTCTGGGCTCTATATCCAATCTGTCCTTGTCTCCCAGCACAGACACTGCTGTCAGCTATTCCAAAGATGTGCTAAGATGTTGAGAGGAAAGCAGGAAGTCCAGCATCCTCCAGACCCTTAAAGCTCCCAAGATCCTCCTTCAGCCAAAGTGACAGGAAGGGAAGCTGAGGTAAGCCCCCAAGGGTTTCCTTCTCAGAGGTTTCTCTAAAATGCTTCCTGCTGTCTCACCACTGAGTGGAATCCCCAATGCTAACTAGTTCCACGGGCAGGTACAAGCCCCAGAGATAGTAATCAAGCCTCAAATTAGGCTGAGCAAACTTCCCTTCATACCTGTGAAGGTAGGCCTGTTCCCTTCATACCTAGTAAACTACTGAGATGTTTCTCATCTGATAACTACATCAGGGTCATCCCGGAAAGAGGGAGGAGAAGAATCTGCTTTGGGGAGTAGCAGAGGGAGTGGAAGACGATTTCAGGATGGGGAAGAATTGGATTGAGAGGACCGAAGGGAATATGAGGGTGAGAGAAGATGGGTAAGCTTCTTGCAGGGAGGAGCTGGGACATTTTTGTCTTTGCCTTTTATCCCCACCCCTGGGCACAGGGTCACACACAGACTTCTTGTACATAGGAACACAGACAGACGTAGAGCCAGAAGGGACTTGAAGTATCCCTCAGTCATAGGATCTCAGATTTAGGACTAGAAGAAAACTTAGAGGTCATCTAGTCTAACCTTGCCCCTCATTTTACAGATGACAAAACTGAGGTGATGACAAAAGAGAGAAACAAGCATTTATTAAGCACCTACTGTGTGCCAGCCACTTCACAATTACTATCTCATTGGATCCTCACAGCAACCTAGTGAGATAGGTACTATGATTATTCCCATTTTACAGTGGAGGAAATTAAGGCATACAGAGGCTTAGTGACTTTCCCAGGGTCACAAAGACAGTCAATATCTGAGGCTGAATTTGAACCCAGGTCTTCCTCACTCCAGGCCCAGTGCTCTATCCATTCTGGTGCCACCTAGCTGCTTTTTTTTTTTTTGGCAATTGGGGTTAAGTGCCTTACCGAGGATCACACAGCTAGTAAGTGTCAAGCGTTTGGTCTGAGGGCGCATTTGAACTCAGGTCCTCCTAACTTCAGGGCCAGTGCTGTATCCACTGTGCCACCTAGCTGCTCCCCCACCTAGCTGCTTTTAAGGTACTTTTCCAAGATAACACCAGGAGCTGAGGCGGGATTAGAACCCAGAATCTTCTCATGTTAAATCCAGCCACCTTTCCACTGCTGCATGTTGCCTGTAGTCTAACCTCTTCATTTCGTAGATTTCACAGAAGCCCGAAGAGGTGGGGACTTGCCCACTGTCACAAAGTGGCAGAGGTCAGATTCAAACCTGGCCCCCCTCCCCAACTTCCAGTCCCACACTCTTTCAATCAACCAATACGCATTGATTAAGCAACTACTAGACACTGGAGATCAAAGACAAAAGTGAATTAGAGCTGTCTGTCCTCTCTGAGCTGCTATTTGACAGGGGAGAGACCATATGCCCACAAAGAAGTCTACAGAAAATAAATGCATGGGCAGCAACTAGGTGGCGCAGTGGGTAGAGCACCGGCCTTGTAATCAGGAGGATCTGAATTCAAATCTAGCCTCAGAACATGTGACACTGGCTGTGAGATCCTGGGCGGGTCACTTAACCCCATTGCCTAGCAAATAAACAAATAAACAAATATATGGTGTTTTGTGCCCATCTGCTTCCCCAACCAAGGATCCTGGCTCTCAGTCACCCCCAGGTTTTAGGTTCTGAAGTTCAGGTTGTGTGAGATGGCTGAGTCCCTTTCAAGCTCACTCAGGAGGTATTTACTTTGTGATTATTGAATCTAATGGAATAGCTGTCTTCAAACACCTCATGGCAGAAGACCTAGATCAATCCCTTAGCTCGGGCTGACCTAGAACTCGTTTACAAAAGATGCAAATTTCAGTTCCCTCGGAGAGAGAGCTTCCTTACAAAGAGGACTGTCCAAAGTTGAAGGGGGAGGGGAGAAGTTTGACCTTGAATAGGAAGAAGACTCTGTGTGTGTGTGTGTGTGTGTGTGTGTGTGTGTGTGTGCGCGCGCGCGCGCGCACGCCTGCTTATGTCTTTGTCTTACAACCCTCCCCCATATCCCCACATCTCAGACCCCTTTGTACCTCCAGGGCCATACACGAATGTGAGTTCAGGGAGATTTTGTTAACAGCTGAGGGGAGATTCCTAGGGAGCTCGGCAGCAAGTCACCAAGAGTGTCCCCTCCCCTTGGGGGGCCGTGGCAGGGGCAGGGGTGCCTTTTGTACAGAAGTAGGACTAGATGGCTGCCACTCTACTGTTCTGTGCCTTCTGATCTAGCCTTGCTCAGCCCCTCTATCTTGGGAGTGGTGGGTGGGGAAAGTAAGCAGACTGAAAGCAGCATAACCTAATCAATCACTCAATCTTGGGCTCACAGATTGTGAGGTGACAGGGACCCTTGCTGTCATCCTGTTCAACTCCTTTGTTTTATAGATGAGGAAACTGAGTCTTGGAACCAGGATTTGAATTCAGGTCCTGTCCCAATCCAGTGTTTTTTCCAAAGCCCCATTCTGTTTTTTGTTTGTTTGTTTGTTTGTTTTTGTTTTTTGGCAAGGCAATGGGGTTAAGTGACTTCCCCAGGGTCACACAGCTAGTAAGTGTCAAGTGTCTGAGGCCAGATTTAAACTCAGGTCCTCCTGACTCCAGGGCCCGTGCTCTATATCCACTGCGCCACCTAGCTGCCCCAAAAGCCCCATTCTGTGAAAGCCCTAATCAATACTTATCAGGCACCTAGTATGTACCAGGGACCAAAAATACAGAGGAAAAATTGAAATGTCTCTTCCCTGGAGAGCTTACATTCCATCAAGGAAAACAACGTACAGATATACATATATATGTATATATGAATGTATGTATGTATGTATGTATGTATGTATGTATGTATCTCTATATATATGTGTATGTTTGAACACATGCACACACAGGCACTGGGGGGTGGGGGAGAATCAGGAAAAGCCCCATGGAAGAGGGGGCAGGAGCTGAGGCTTGAAGGATAATGGAGATTCCAACAGACTGTGGAGCTCGGGGAGTGCCCCGGGCACCCCGGCCTGGGGCATCGGCAGCATAAAGGCCATGTACAATCTAGACAAGGACCTCCTAGAAGGCCAGTCTGACTGCACGGTGGTTGTGGAAAAGGGAGTTCTGTGTGATAAGGCTGGAGAGCTAGAATGGGGCCTGCTTGTGAAGGGCTTTGAATGACCCCTGGGGGAAAGCCAGGGCTGGCCCCTCTGCTAAGCCTCCTCCAGGCTGCCCTGGGTGATCTTCTCCAGCCCGAAGAGACTCCTGTCCTCAGACCCCTCAGGCCTCTCTGTCTGACCTCTGCTGTGCACACAAGCATTTTCTTCCTAGCATCTTCCTTATTTGCATCAGCTCTGAAACTCCCCAGCTCAGGGACAGGGTTATTTTCCATCTTTGCAGCCCAGGGCCTAGCACAGAGCAAGCCACAGCAAGCGTGAGACACTTCCTAGGCTTGGCCAGGCAGCCTGACTCTGGCCCTCGGATCCTGAGGGCATAGCATCATATATCTGGAGCTGGAGGAACCCTTGGGGGGGTCATCAAGTCCAATCCCCTCAGTTGGCAGATGAGGAAACTGAGGCTGAGAGGGGGGGTGGCATGCACAGGGTGACAGAGCTGTAAAAGTCTGAGCAGGATTTCTGATGTCAAGCCCTGAGCTCCACCCACTGTATCGCTTGGCTGCAGTGAGGCCTGCTGGGCCTGAAGGCGGAGAACAGGCCCCTGTCCAGGGCTTTGGGGGCCAGGACTGAAGCTTGGGCCCAGCTTCCGGTATAGGCTGCTCAAAGGCACTGATTTCGACACTCCTTCCTGCTGGGCTGAGGCAAAGGGCCTTCTTCGCAAAAAAAAAAAAAATCTCTCTGTGGCAAATCCCCAGGGTGGGTGAGGATCTGGAGGATCTGTGCCCTCAGCTCTCATGCCTATCCTCCACCTTCTAGGGGACCGTGGCCTAACCCGTGCAGATGCCGCTTCCGACGTCCGGGGCTTCCACCCCAGCATAAGCACTGCCCCCCTCCCCCACCCCCAGCAGCCCCGATCCTTGTCCAGTCACTGTCCTCCTCCTGGGTCCTCGCCCCAGCCGTGGCCCAGGCTGAGGCTGAGGACGCCTCTGGGATTCTAGGCATCTCGGGGGCGGGGGGTGGGGTCCCCTGGGCCATTCCGAGAGCACGCGAGCGAGCCCCACTGGGCGCAGGGCGCTGGGCGGGGGCGGGCACAGCCAAACAGCCCTAGCCCGCCTCTGGCAACCTCTTCCTTCTCCTCCCTCAAATCTGGGGGACCAGGAGAAGACTAATGCCGCCGCCTGCTGGAGGCAGGGGGGGACACAGCGCAGCGAGGAACCCCCTCAATCTTCCGGCTCTCGGAGAGCCCCAGCCCAGTCCGGGCGCATCCTAGGGCGGGGCTCTTCGGACCGGTCTGGGCTCCTGGGTGAGACGGGGGCAGCCTCTGGTCCGTCTGTGCTCGGGTGCACTGACCCCCGAGCCGGGGGACCTGGAGAGCCCACCCCTCTCCTCCCCTGCACCCCACCTTCTGGTTCCCCCCTCCCCCCAGCAAAGGGCGGGATGCTAGCCTGACAGTCTGGGGATCCCGAGGGGGAGCTCGCCCCCCGGCGGCGGCCAGGGGCAGGACGAGGGGGAGGGGGGCCCAGGGGCCCCCGCCCCTTCCCGCCTCCCCTCGGCCCCTCCCCCTCCTCCCTCCTTCCCTGCGTCCGCCCTGACAGCCACAGCCGCGTTGTGTCTGCGGGGCCGCTGCGGCTGCGGCTGCGGGGCTGGGGGCAGCGGAGCTGCCGCGGGGGCTCCGCTCCCCGGGACCCCCGCCGGTCCAGGGTCAGGGTCAGGGCCGCCCAGCCGCGCCCCCGCCCCGTCTGGCTCCGCCCGCCCGCCCACCCGGCGGCCCCGCCGGGGATGCGGCGGAGGCGGCGGCGGAGGCGGAGGCCGTGGCTCTGAGGCCGAGCATGGCCGGCCCCGGCCCGACCTACCCGCTCCACCGGCTCGTTTGGGCCAACCGGCACCGTGAGCTGGAGGCCGCGCTGCACAGCCGCCAGGTGAGGGAGGCCCGCCGGGCCCTGACCGCCCCCTCCAGCCCAGGGCGCCCGCGACCCCCCAGCCCGGCGCGCCTGGCCCCCACCCCCAGCCTTGGCCACCCGTGCTCCCACCCCAAGTAGTCTCCCGACCCCCACCCCCACCCCCATCCCGGCCCAGGAGTACGTGGTTCACCCCACCCCTCCTCCCAGCCCGCTGACAACTGGCCCCAAAGGTCTGGCCACAGAGGCCGGGGCAAGGCTCCGGAGCCTATCTTCAAACTTTCCATCCCTGGGGGCGGGCCTCCTGCTGGCCCCTCCACCCCCGGTCACCACCTGCACCGCAGACCTCCTCTTGGTCGTCAGAGCCCAGCTCTCCACCCCATCGCTCCCCATTCCCGGTCCGGCTTTGGTAGCACACTCCACCGTACCCTCCCCCTCTCTGCAGCCAGCCAAGCTCCATGATGACTAGGTTAGGCTCTCGACTTCCTCTGCTGGGCTTCCTGGCCCCAGGGTGCTAGCCCCCTTGTCCGGGTCTGCCAGCCTCTCGCTGGGTCTCCTCGTCTCCAAGGCACTGCCTCCCTCTCTGCAGCACGACATTGAGTCAGTGGATCCTCGGGGTCGGACCCCCCTGGAGCTGGCCGTGTCCCTGGGGAACTTGGAGTCAGTGCGAGTACTGCTCCGGCACAATGCCAACGTGGGCAAGGAGAACCGCCAGGGCTGGGCAGGTACCTGATGGGGAAGCTGCTTAGGAAGGGTGAGGAGGATGGGATGCTGGGGTGGCCTTCCCAGCCTGACCCAGCCGACCTTTCCAGTCTCACCTCCTGCTTCTTCCCTTGGCACCATCCCCCCTCGCCCCAGCCAAGCGAGGTACTGGGTTGGCCTTGGAATCAGGTCGATGTGGGTTTGAATCCTGATACTTGCTAGCTGTGTGACCCTGCACAAGTGACTCGACCTCTCTGGGTCTCAGCTTCCTCAGCTGTAAAATGAGGGCATTGGACATGACCTCTGAGGTCCCTTCCAGCTCGAAAAGCACAATCTTGTGAGTGCTGGCCTGAGAGTCAGGAGACCCAGCTTCTCATCCTGCCGTTCCAGCCAATTGCCTTCTGATCTTAGACAAGCCACTTCGACTTCCCTAGGCCTCCTTCCTCCTCTAACGGGAAGGGATTGAATCAGGTGCTTTCAGAAGTCCTTCCAACTTGGCAATTCTGGGAGCTCCCTGTCCCCCTCAGGGCCTTTCTCCTTCCCAGTGTCCTGTTGAGACTTTCAAGGCACAGTTTGGATTCCAATTATTTTGTTTTCCTTTCCTCCTAGTCCCCCTGTCCCCTCCCTGGCCCTTCCTGCTTCTCCATGGCCCTTGTCACACCCAGCCCAGGAGCCTGCACTCAGGACGTCAGGAATGGACGGTTGGGTGGCTGGGAAGGCCATGGGCAGTGTGGGCCAGATGAGGGTGGGAATGGCGCTGAGGGGGCAGGTGGCAGATGCCTAACTGATGGGCCCGCTCTGTAGTCCTTCAGGAGGCTGTCAGTACCGGGGATCCTGAGATAGTCCAGCTGGTACTGCAATACCGGGATTACCAGCGGGCCACCCAGAGGCTGGCAGGCATCCCTGAGCTCCTCAACAAGCTTTGTCAGGTACAGGGGTGCCAGCTGGGCAGACAAGTGGGAACTGGCCCCAGGGAGGGAGGGAGGGGTGCATGCCTGCCCGTGCCCAGGGTGCCATTGCAAGCGTGGACAGTAACAAGACCCTGTTCTTATAGCAGCAGTCCTGAGAGAGAGGCCAGGCAAGACTCATTTCCCCATTTTACAGATGGGGAAAGTGAGGTTCAGAGAGAAGTGAAGTCCCCTAAAACCACAGAGTTTGTTGGTGTCTGGTCCTGATTGGACTCTTCCCTGAGAACAGGTTTTGCTGGGAGAAGAGAGAGATCATTAATTGTACACACACACACCCCTGTACCCCCATTTCTATAGACTCGGGAGTTTATAAGCACTTTCCTTATACCCCGGTGCAGTAGGTAGTGCAAAGATTGTTTTATACCTGAGGAAACAGGCACATAGAAAGTGTCCCTTGCCCAAAGTATATGAGGTAGGATGGGGACCTAGGTTGCTTCTGACTTCAAGCTTTTCCCCCACTGCTCCGCAGGATGAAAAGGGGCTGGATATTTCCTGGAGAGGGCAATATCAGGGAAAGGCCATGGAGTTGAGGGATGGGGCAGCTTGGTGGGAGGGGGTCAGGATCTTCTGCTGCTTCACAGTTTGCTGGTGGGGCCAGCTCTGGACCCCGGAGCAGGGGGCCGGGGAAGTCACCTCCTCTGAGCTGCCCTAACCTGCTCCTCCCAGTCTCAGGGAATCAATCCCTAACAGGTAGGTGCCTTCTGTCTATCCCAGGCACCCGATTTCTATGTAGAGATGAAGTGGGAATTCACCAGCTGGGGTAAGTGGAGACTGGGGGGGGGTGCCCCTGGGGTGGGAGTTGGCCAATGTGAGGGCCCAGCCCTGTGCCCTGTGCCAAGTCGAGCCCTCTCTAGCTCCTGACCCCATGCCCACAGTGCCCCTCGTGTCAAAGATGTGCCCAAGTGACGTGTACCGCGTGTGGAAGCGTGGCCAGAGTCTGCGTGTGGACACCAGCCTCCTGGGCTTTGAGCACATGACTTGGCAGCGGGGCCGACGGAGCTACATCTTCAAGGGCCAGGGTGAGAGAAAAGGGGAGACTGGGCAGGCCTGGCATCTGTCCCAGGCTGGGCTGGGTACCCTTCCTCCTGCCCTCTCATCTGGCCCCATTCCTACACCCCTTGGAGCCTAGGCTGGGATCACGGGCCAGGGTCACTGACTCAAGCTCCCTCCAGAGGCCGGCGCCCTGGTGATGGAGGTGGACCATGACCAGCAGGTGGTGCGCACGGAGACCCTGGCGTTGGCCCTACACGAGCCCGAGGCACTGCTGGCAGCCATGCAGCCCAGCGAGGAGCATGTGGCCAGCCGGCTTACCTCCCCCATCGTGTCTACCTACCTGGACACTCGGAATGTCGCCTTTGAGAGGTCAGCCCCAAACTAGGAGCGGGGAGGAGGGAGGGACTCCCGGGCCTGGCTGTGGGCAATGGCATCGGGAGCTGGTGACCCTCGGTGAGTGACTTTACTTTTCTATGCCTCAGTCGCCTCATTTGTAAAATGAGGTTTTTAAAAAAAAACAAAAACTTGCCCTGCCTACCTTACAGGGTTGTGAATTTTTCTAGCCAGAAAGTGCTATAAAAAGGTGACTTAAAAAAAAAAGATTGACTGAAGAAAAGGTCAGTTTCCCCATCTGTAAAATAAAGGGGTTGAACAAGGGGGCCTCTCTAATCCCCTTCCAGCTCTGTCTTTGACCTTTCACCTTATATCCCAGAGCCTCATTTTCCCTCTCTGTAAAAACCAGAGGATTATACATGATGGCCCCTGAGGCTGCTTCTGGCTCTAGCTGTCCCAGCGTAGGATCCCGTAGAGCCAGCCAGTGCTGGGCACAGGGTAAGGAAAGGGACTTCCCCAAGGGGGAGCAGTGTTCCCTGGCCTGCTCCATGTCCCCTTCTACCATGTAGAGTCCAGCTGCTGCCCCAGTAGCTAGCTATGGCTGAGGCCCAGGAGACAGGGGTCAGTGCTTAGGGATGGGCAAGCTCCTAGCCTCCTACATTCTAGCCTAAATTAATTTCTTTTTTTCTTTTTTTTTTTAAGGCAATTGGGATTAAGTGACTTGCCCAGGGTCACACAGCTAGTAATGTCAAGTGTTTGGTCTGAGGTCGGATTTGAACTCAGGTCCTCCTGACTTCAGGGCCGGTGCTCTATCCACTGCACCACTTAGCTGCCGCAATTAATTTCTCCACAGAATATCTTCTAGTATTATAAGCAGTGAGCTCGAGGCTAGCCCAAATGAGCTGGGGTAGCCTGGAAACCTTACCACTTACTATAACATTGTTTCTATAGGAAAGTGTGGGTAGGAGTGGAGGAAGAATGGACTTGAGAGTCTGGGGAGAGGATCTTCACTGAAACGCCTTGGTCCCTTATAGGAACAAATGCGGGATCTGGGGCTGGCGGTCGGAGAAGCTAGAAGTTGTCAGTGGCTATGAGGCCAAGGTAGGGAGTGGGAAGGGGCTCTGGGGGTGAGGGGATGGGGGCAGCGTCTGGCCAAAGAGCCCCACCTTTTCTACCCTGACCCTCCCTGCCCCCTAATCCCAGAGCTTCCACCAGGCAGTCTCATGCCAGTGCTGTTGCTGATACCCTGGGAAAACTGTGGCCTTCCCAAAGTAAAAATCCTGGCCCTGTCTTCCTCTCAGGGCTGGTGTGAGGACCCCTGAGATGATTGATGGGGAGGATTGGGCAAGTCACTTAATGGCCTGGCCTCAGTTTCCTCATCCGTAAAATCAGAGTCGGACTAGATGAGGCCTTCTCCAACTCTCAGTCTGTGACTATGACGGGTGCTCAGCCCTGAAACGGCCTGGTCTTCTATGGGAGTGACTGCCATCTCCTGCCTCCTGTCTTCTTCATGTGGCCACCCCAGGAGGGACTCAGACTTACCGTGGCCTGGGAATGTAGGGTGGGGAGGGGAGGGGCACTGGCTTGGGCTGAGTCTGGGGGCTGCCCCCAATCCCTGAGCCCTAGCTCATGTCAGGGTCTGTTTCTTCTCCCCCCACCCCACCCCAGGTATACAGTGCCAACAACGTGGAGCTTGTGACGAGGACCCGGACGGAACATCTCTCTGATCAGGACAAGGCCAGGACCAAAGGTAAACCCAGGTGCGCCCACCTGCCCGCCACCTTCCTAGAGCAGGACAGGCCCCTCTCAGCCACTGATATGCAGTGGGATGTTGGCTGAGGCACTTCCTTTCTCGGGCCTCACTGGCGTCATCTGATGAATGGGGCTAATGAAAACAATCACAGCAATCATAGCGGAGCACTTTCTATGTGCCAGGTACTGTGTAAGCACTTTACGATCATAATCTCATTTGGTCTTCACAACAACCCTGGGAGGTAGGGGTTATGGTTATCCCCATTTTACAGATGAGGAAACAGAGGCAAGCAGCGTTTATGGTAACTTGCCCAAGGTCCCAAAGCTAGGCTGGATTTGAACTCAGGTCTTCCTGAGTCCAGTACCAACGCTCCGTGTACTGTGGCGTCCCCTCGTGGCCCTCCATTGCACCTCTTCTGCTGGAGGAATGAAATTGGCAGGAAATCACACAAACTTGTTTTCATAAGTTCAGTTGGGTGTTCAGATTCATACTGGCATCTAGGTGGTGTCACACACCTGCCCACACCACCAAATGCACTCACTGGTTCAGTCGTGCATTTATTAAGTGCCTACTGTATACCAGACACTGAGTCCCCACCTTCAGTGAGCTTCAATTCTGCTGGTTGGGAAAGCTCCATGGCATTCCCCGTTGTCCACCCACCAGTCCCATGCCAGGCAGGGGCCCTAGCTGGAGAGCGGGAGAGGCTGGACCAGGGGGCTGAGGGAAGGCTGTTCTCATGGGCTCTTCTGTTCATGCAGGGGGGAAGACACCCTTCCAGTCCTTCCTGGGGATGGCCCAGCAGCACTCAGTCCACAACGGGGTGAGCAAGGGCCGGCCAGGCCTGTGGCCCCTTTCTCCGTGGGTGCTCAGGCCTGAGGAGTTGTGGCCGGCCCTTGGGCCAGAGAGTTGGGTGGTGGGCCTGAGGGCTGGGCGAGGGGAGTTGCAAAGGCTGAGCGCTTTTCCTGGGGTGGGCTGGGGCAGGCCCCTGTGCTGCAGTCAGCTAGTCCCACCAACCCCACGGCCATCTCCCCGGAAGAGTACTTTGACCCCAACTTCAGCCTGGAGGCAAGGAACATTGGCCGTCCCATCGAGATGTCCAGCAAAGTGCAGCGGTAGGCTTGTCCTTCCATCTCCTTGTCCCCTCCTGGCCCCAGACTTTCTCCCCCTTCCCCTTTGCATGGATCCCCAGTTCCACAATTCTGTCCTGAGTACTGCTCTAGGCCCAGCCTGGTGCCAGGCTCTGCAGAGGATAGAAACCCTGGGGCAGGAGAACAGGGCTGGGGGCCAAGCCTGGCTGGGTCAGTGGCCCTGACCAGTCTGGGAAGGTTTATCCCAGGTAAACGGATCCTGCAGCTTCCCTCAAATCTGAAACTGGCTGGGGTCTAGGGTGCAGGGTCTAAGCAGTTGTGATAGACCAAGGCTGGTCTGGCAGGTTCAAGGCCACCCTCTGGCTGAGCGAGGAGCACCCCCTGTCTCTGGGTGACCAGGTGACACCCATCATCGACCTCATGGCCATCAGCAATGCCCACTTTGCCAAACTTCGAGACTTCATCACCTTGCGCTTGCCACCAGGCTTCCCTGTCAAGATTGGTGAGGAGGGATGTAGAAAGGTGGGGTGGGATGGGCTGCAGGGGATGGGGTTTCTGTCTGTGTGGGAGTCCTGACCCCCCTGATCACTGTCACTTACCTATGTGACCTCGTATCAATTAGTAAGCACCTACTGTTTGCCCGGCATTTTATACGGTCTTGGGGATGCAGAGATGAAGGGAAACTGTCCCTGTTCCCAAAGAGCTTAGTCTGTCTAGGGAAGACAACATATCCATGTGTGGGCATATAAAAGCTAAACACAAAATGGATGCAAGGAATGGGCGAGGCATGAGAAAAGGTCTCAGGAGCTGGGGATACAAGAAAAGCAAACAGCCCCCCAGAAATATTGTAATGGGGGGCACTGCATGTAAATAACAAGGTCCACACCAGATGGAGACAGACTAGATGGGAGGGAATATGAGAGAGAGGGGCCTTAGTAGTGGGAAGAGGTGAAGGAGACAGAAGAAAACTCACCCGCAAAGTGAGATTTGTGTCCACGCCTATGCCTGGGCTGGGAACAAGCCTGGGGAGGGGAGGGAGTGACCGGGGCTGGGGGTGAGCCCCAGGGGGAGAGTGGGGGCGTGATGGGGCTGGGGGGAGCCACTTGGGGGGGGTCATGGCTCCGGTCTTCTGTTGGCTCAGGGCCTGGCTCTGCTGTCCCCTCAGAGATCCCCTTATTCCATGTGCTCAATGCCCGGATCACTTTCAGCAACCTGTGTGGCTGTGATGAGCCTCTGAGCTCTGTGTGGGTGCCGTCTCCCAGCCTGAGGTCCACAGAGTCCACCAGCCCTGCCGCCGGTATAGCCTGGGAGGGAGAAGGGGAGGATACATGGTGGGGAGGACCCTGTGAGGTGGGGAAGAGAGTGGGGAAAATTGAGGTTTTCCCTTCCCCAGGGAGCCCCCTTTCCCTGTGAGGTGGACCCCGCCGTGTTTGAGGTACCCGAGGGGTACAGCGTGCTGGGTGCTGGGCATAGTGAGCCCCTGAGGGATGAAGATGACGACCTTCTACAGTTTGCCATCCAACAGAGCCTGCTAGAGGCTGGGACTGAGACAGAGCAGGTAAAAGACAGGGTAGGACTTGGCACCCAAGTGGAGGAAGGCTAGGTGGGGATCTCTGTAGGCTGGAGGGGGCAGCAGCCAAGGGACTCTTTTTGTTCCCAGGGCCTGGAAGAGGCAAGCATGGCGGCCAGTCCAAGTCTGTCCATCCTAGCACTCGGGGGGCCCAGAGTGTGGGTGGGATGAAGGGTTTGGGATGTGGGGTCAAAGTGAGGCAGGAGACAGATCCCTGACCAAGAAACCTTCCCTTCCCTTTCCCTTCCCTTTTCCCCTTCCCTTTCTCCCTTTCCCCTTTCCCTTTTTCTTTTTCCCTTTCCCTTTCTCATTTCCTTTTCCCCTTTCCCTTCCCTTTTCCCCTTCCCCCTTTTCCCTTTCACTTCCCTTTCCCCTTTTTCCTTTTCCCTTTCCTTTTCCTTTACCCTTTCCCTTCCTTTTCCCCTCCCCTTTTCCCCTTTCACTTCCCTTCCTTCCTCCTTTCCCCTTTCCCTTTTCCCTTTTCCTTCCCTTTCCCCTTCCCCTTTTTCCCTTTCCCTTTCTCTTTTCCTTTTTCCCCTTTCCCTTCCTTTTCCCCCTTTTCCCTTTTCCCTTTCCTTTTTCCTCTTCCTTTTCCCCTTCCCTTTTTCCCTTTCACTTCCCTTTCCCCTTTTTCCTTTTCCCTTTCCTTTTCCCTTTCCCTTTCCCTTCCTTTTCCCCTCCCCTTTTCCCCTTTCACTTCCCTTCCTTCCTCCTTTCCCCTTTCCCTTTTTCCCTTTCCCTTCTCTTTCCCCTTCCCCTTTTTCCCTTTCACCTTTCCCTTTTCCTTTTTCCCTTTCCCTTTCTCTTTTCCTTTTTCCCCTTTCCCTTCCCTTCCCTTTCCCCGTTCCTTTTTACTTTTCCTTTCCCCTTTCCTTTTTCCTCTTCCTTTTCCCCCTTCCCTTTTTCCCTTTCCCTTCCCTTTCCCCCTTTTCCCTTTCCCCTTCCCCTTTCCTTTTTCCTTTTCCTTTTTCCCCTTCCCCTTTTCCCTTTCACTTCCCTTTCCCTTTTCCTTTTCCCTTTCTCTTTTCCTTTTCCTCTTTTCCTTCCCTTTCTCTTTTCCTTTTTCCCTTTCACTTCCCTTCCCTCTCCCCGTTCCTTTTTACTTTCCCTTTCCCTTTTCCCTTTCCCCTTTCCTTTTCTCTTCTCTTCTTCTTGCAGGTGACCATCTGGGAAGCTCTGACTAACACCCGGTCAGGCCCAGACCTCCACTCTCCCCCACCTGCCTATGAGGAGCAGCTGCAGCTGGAGCGGTGAGCCCCCCACCTCCTCCCATTCCTGAGGGTTTTTTCTGCCCCCTCATTGCCACCACCACCACCACCGTCAGGGGCCTGTAACTCTCCTGGGTGGAATGTTGTGGGGGCAGCTGGGGGGGGCTGTCCCACAGTGACAGTACCCCTCAATCCTCTCAAGGTCACCTCTCTGTCTCTAGGATGGGGGAGTTTCGGGGAAGGAGGATGGAAAGGAAGGTATGGCCCGAGGCTATCTGGGGGCCAGGGGTGGGACAAGACATTTATGCCCTTGAGGTAAAGGTGGACTGTCTCTCCCCCCTGTTCACCAGGGCCTTTGGGCCTTCTCTCTAACATAGGCACCTTGACTCAGCCCCCATCAACCCCTTAGTGTGAAGGAATCTGACGCGTTTGTAAAGGCTTTCCTTCAGTGCCATCTGGCCAGCTGCTAGTCTTTCTATAGAGCTACCTCTGCTTTCCCCCTTCCCAGCTCAGCGTCCTGGGTTGGCTCAGGAAGGTAGTAGGAATGGGACCCCAAGACCCTGCCTCTTCTCTTCCTCTGGGCCCTGGAGCCCTCTTAAAGGGGTCTCTCACTATAGGGAGGCAGGGAGGGGTTCCTATGCTACCCAGTCCCTGTTAGCATCTGCTCCTCTCCACACCTTGGCAGGGCCCTCCAGGAGAGCCTGCTGCCACCTTCAGAACCTGGGGGCCTGGGGTCCCCTCGCCTGACTCCTGCCTCCCTGAGCCCCCCCAGCTTCGACGAGCAGCTCCGCCTGGCCCTGGAACTGTCCTCCCGGGAGCAGGAGGAGAGAGAGAGGAGGGGGCAGCAGGAAGAGGAGGAGCTGCAGCGAATTCTGCGGCTCTCCCTCACTGACCACTGAACTGCCCAGTCAGGATGGAGGGACACTGCCCAGGCCAGGCCTCATGCCTGGCTTTTATAATTTATTTATTTATGAACTGCTGACCAGCTAGGGGAGGGGTTGGGGGTCAGGGGTTGCCCAAGATGGAGGTAGGGGATGGAAATAAATTAGAAACCAGCCTGTGGCTCGGCCGTGCTCTGTGGGACCTGGGGGAGGGTTGGGAGGGCTTCATGACTCTCTCCCTAGTATCCCGCCTGAGAACAAGGAGTCCCAGTGATTTACCAAAGCCCCCCACTGCCTCCCCAGCCCAAGAGGCCTACCAGATGTGCCTTTCTTCCCCTTTGCCTTCCTGCTCCCTCCCTATTCACAAGTGCCTACTGTGTGCAGGGCCCCAGCCCCTCCTGAGCTCCGAATACAAACAGGCATAATTTAATGACTACCTACGGAAAGAGGAAAGAAAGCGGTGGATCTCTGAGACCCTTGGGGTCAGGCCCTAAGCTCCTGATGATTCAGTCTAACCCAGTTCAGAAGAGGACTAGTGGGCTGGCCAGCCTAATTCCCTCAACCCCGGGGGCTTCCATCGAAGTGCACAGAAGCAGAGCTGGAAGAGGCATGCCAGGGCGACGGCCCTCATTTTACAGATGAGGAAACCGAGGCCCGGAGAGTTTGCGACTTGACCAGGGTCAGCAGGCGCCTAGTCAGTGGCCAGGGTTGGAAGCCCGGGCCCTCGGAGCTGTCATCAGTGTCCGAGGTGGGGAAGTTGAGGCACGGGCCGGCTGTTGTCATTGGGCTCGGTCCGAAGCTGCGCGTGCAGCAGGACAGAGCGCCCCTAAGGAGTCGAACCCGCCCAGCGCCCCGGCCCCAATTACCTGGAAAGGGGGAGGGCGGAGGCTGGCTCCGGGTGGCCCCGCCTCGGGGGGCGGGGCCTTGCCCGGAGGGAGCCAGAGCAGAAGGGGAGGGGCGGCTGCGGCGCCGGCTGCGCTGAGAGCCCGGGGAGGCCGAGCGGGCGGGGCGGCTGGCCCTTTAAGGGCCGCCCCCAAGGAGGTGCCAGGCCGAGGTGGCTCGGCCGGGCTCTGCTCCTTGCTTTCCTTCCTGGTCTGGTCTGGCCTGGCCAGGCCTGGGCTGGTTGTTGGGCTGGTCTGGTCGGGTCGGATCGGGTCTGTGGGAGGGGGCTGCGCCTGGAGCCCTCCGTCCAGCCGCGTGAGCGTGCATGGCCCTGGTCACAGTGAGCCGATCCCCCTCGGGCAGCGGCCACTCCACCCCCGTGGGCCCCGCGGTGAGTCCGCCTCTGTCCCGTCCCTGCCCACGCAGACAGTCCGCCCCCTCTCCCGCTAGGCCTGTTGGACCGGGCACCGGGCAATGCACATCTCCCCAGGGACTCCCAGCCAAGCCGAGGTCTGGCAGGGCCCCTGGACCTTCCCCAGCCCGCCTGAGAAGTGGCCCCTGAGAATCCCCTCACGGTACCTATCCAGCAGACAGCCGGTGGCCTGGCCAGCGGACAGAACTCCTGGCAGCCTGTGGGGGTGGCTGGGGAGCCATTGGTGGCTGTTTGGAGGCAGGAATCCCTCTTCCCTGGCCACTGAAGTCTAGGATGGGGGTGGGGATTAAAAGGAGAAGAGGGAAGATCAGAACCCCAACCTCTCCCATCCCCCACCCCCATGGGGAGCTTCCAGGGCTGTGTGGGCCCAGGAAAAAGAAGGGTTGGGTTCAGAAGGTCCTTCCAACGTTAGCTTCAGATCCTAGGCGTTGGTAAAAGGCCCTGCCCCACTGCTCCAGGAGTGGATCCCAAGAAGAAACAAGCTGTTAGGCCATGGGGGCCAGGGAGGGGGAGGGGATGGGACCCCCAGAGGGACCCACAGAGCCCCTCACACTGCCCCCATGGGGCTGCTTCCCTGGCAGGATGAAGGGCTGAGCAGGCGGAGCCAGCTGCAGCGCAGGTGAGGAAGCCCCCCCTTCCCCACACCCCAGGCATGAGTCATCCTGGCTTTGTGTCCCCTGGCTAGCTGGGTGCCGTTGGTGAGATCAGAGGGCACTGGGGGGCAGTAGCTGAGTTGAGGGATGCTTAGGTCCTTTGTCCCATTATAGGACCCAGTCTCTCTCTTTCTCCAGTTCTTGGCTCAGTGGATAAAAAGAGAGGGTAAGATGGCCCTTCCCAAGGGAAGCAGATGATGGCAGGGTTAAGTGCTTTGGAATCATCAGAGAGTAAGGAATCTGCCTCCAATGATGCTCTGCTCCTGGCCAGGCAGAGCTTTGCAGTGCTTCGTGGGGCTGTCCTGGGGCTCCAAGACAGAGGGGAGCCCAGCACCGGGGATCAGGACAGGTCAGATGACGAGGATGACCCAGAAGACGAGGAGCCTTCCTCAGACCAGCCTGATGGAAATGGCCAGGGAACTCCAGAGCCCTCGAGTTCTGGGAAGCAAGAGCAGAGGCGGCACCTACGCCTCATGGTGGGGTTGCTGAGGGCCCAGGACAATATCCAGCTGGTAAGAGGCGGGGCCTGGGGGCAGGGAAGGGAAAGATACCACTGTTCCAGTTCTTCTCCTACTTCTCTGATTGTGCCTTCTCTGTCTCCTCTTCCTTCTGCCTCCCCCAAAGGCTCTGTCCTCTTCCCTCTTCTCCCCTCTCTCCATACTCTCTCTCTTGGGCAAGTCCATCTCCTTGCAGGGCTTCAGCTCCCACCTCCAGGAGGAGGACCCCGACCTCCCTCTGTCACCCCGCCTATCTCAGAGCCATCTCTACCAGGATGCCCTGACACCATCTCAAACTCAACATGTCTCAAACTGAACTCAGCATCTTTCCACCGACATCCGCTCCTTCTGATCCTGCGATTTCTACACTGACTCTCTCCCCTTCCCTGACATTGCAGACCTCAGGCGTTTTGTTTTTCTCTGTCCCTCACCCTTGATCACCCAGGCACTAAGTCCCATCAGGCCTGGCCAGGTTTTCCTCCTTTCCTCCATTCCATTTCCTCTGTTCAGGCCCATCCCCTCAGATATCTCCCCAGCTCATCCCGCCTCCAATCCAGCCCACCTCCCTGCAGCACCATTTCCAATAACCCCCTCACTAAGTGCCAGTTCTAGGAAGGCTCAGCCTGGCACTGAGGGTCCTAGACCAGCTAGCCTAACTTACCTTTCCAGCCAGAATCCTCTGTTCCAGAGAACCTGGATTCAAAGCCTGTCTCAGGGCTTACATCAGTGTGATCTGCAGCAAGTCCCTTAATCTCCCTGGGCCTCAGTTTCCTCATTTGTAAAATAAAGGAGTTAGACTAGATGGCCTTAAGATTCCTGCCATCTAGGGGTGGCTAGGTGGCACAGTGGATAGAGCACCAGCCCTAGAGTGAGGAGGACCTGAGTTCAAATTCGGCCTCAGACACTTGATACTTCCTAGCCATGTGACCCTGGGCAAGTCACTTAACTCCGATTGCCTCACTAAAAAAAAGCAAAAAAAAGAAAAGAAAAGGTTCCTGCTATCTCCAAGTCTATAATCCTACCTCTTTGTAAGTCCCTTAATATCCCTGGGTCTCAGTATGAGAAGGGTCATACTAGATGATCTCTAGAGCCATGACTCCTGCTCCTCTGATTGTCACACGAAGCCTGGTCCATGCCCACTTTTAAAATTCTCCCCGTCTCTGAAGGCCTGGCACAAATGTCACCTCCTCTGGGAAGCCTCTGATTTCCCAGCAAGATGGGGCTTCTCCCTGTCTTCCTCTCTCATAGTACTTCTCAAATTCTGTCTAATCCTTTTGTTGTCGGTGTCTCTGTCTTATGTGCCCACTGAGAGAGAGTGCTCAGGCATAAATATGGTATCACACCATCACATTTGCCATGCCCCTCACTCTCTCCCATCCCACCCACCATGTCCTCCATTGAAGCTCAGGAAATGTTTCCTGCATTGAACTGGGAGAGGAGGTTGATGGGAAGGTCAAATAATGCTGAACTGATGTGTTTGGGAGGCCTCGTGGCTTAGGGCACAGAGAGCTGGCCTCAGAGCCAGGAAGACCTGAGTTCAAGTCCTGCCTATGACGGTATAACCCTGAGCAAGTCACTTCACTTAGTGTCCTAGGCAACTCTAAGACTAGGCGCAGAGAAGGCACCCACATACGTTGACAGAGGGAGTTGTCTATATCTGGAAATTCCATTAAGTACAGTTCCCCCCCCACCTGCCTCCACTCTGCCTCCACCCCCTCCATCCCCCGGAGATTGCATGTGGAATGGTATCTCTGAATCATATGCTTCCCCCACCCCCCTCAGGCAGTACAGTTGGAGACCACCCGGCCTCAGTGGCTCAGGTACCTGCTTGTGGTGTCCACTTCAGAGCTATTAAGCCAGGATGAGACTGTCCTCCTGGGGGTCGACTTCTCCCAGAGCAGGTAGGGGCACTGCTGGAAGTGGGGAGACTGGGCAGACAGGAAGGGCAAAGAGAACCAAGCTGTCTTTCCCTCTGCCCCTCCAGTTCCCCCAGCTGCACCTTGGGCCTGGTCCTACCCCTCTGGAGTGATACACAAGTTTACCTGGATGGTGATGGGTGAGAAGAAGCAACTTGATATTAGAGGGAGGGGAAGAAGGCTGCTCAGACTATCTATGCCTTGGGATCTGGGTGGGGAGGTCTTATGGGAAAAGCACTGAAGTTCTCTGGACCTCAGTTGGCACATCACACACCTGCCCTGCCTGTCTCAGAGGAGGGGCAGTTGTGATAAGAGCAGGTGAGATCATGGATAGGAAGGTGGCTCCATAGAAAGTCTGAAACCTTTGAGGAATGTACATGTGTGTGTATAATGAATGACTCATACTTGGGTACTTGGAGGAAACATAGGAGATGACCTAACCCAACCCCCTTATTTTGCTGAGGAAACTGAGGCCCCGGAGGGGAAGGGCTTTGCCCGTTTCAGTTGCTCTGACTCTGGGAATCTCCCAGCCTATACTGCCCACTCCTGACGGCTTGATCTCCGCCCTCCTCCTCCAGGGGCTTCACTGTGACATCCGGGGGTCAAACAAGAATCTTCAAGCCTATCTCCATACAGACCATGTGGTGAGAATGAGAAACAGGGGTTGAGGAGTTCAGAGGCGCTGGGGAGATGGGGAAGAAGTGGGGCGGGGAATGGGGGAGGCCTGGCCTAATGGCCTCAGAACAACCACCCATTCCTTGGAAATTCCCTGGAGTGAGTCACAAAAGCCCAGAGATGTCCACTGAGAAGGGGCAATTGTCTCATCCCCTCACCCCTGGACTATTGCAGTGGCTGCTGGGGGCTCTGCCCGCCTCCAGTCATGTCACCTCCTACTCAGTAAACTCCGGTGACTCCCTAGGACTCCCAGGATCAAATACCAGATGTTGTGCCTGGCATTCGAAGCCCCTCCTCCCTGTGCAGTCTTCTCCCACCTCACTCGCTGACATGTGCTCTTCAATCCAGAGCCCAGCCTCTGGGCTGTCCATCCCCCTGCTCTGGGCCTTCTCTCTGTCCCCACGGCTGCAAGGCCCTGACCATTGACCTCCCCGTCCCACCTCAGATCCCACCTTCTGTGGAAGCCTTCCCCACCCCCCTCAGGTCTAGCCTTCCCTCTCTTTAATTATTTCCTGTTTAGCCTGAATTTGTACAGTCTTTTGCTTGTTAGGCTGTGAGCTCCCTGAGGATAGAGACTGCCTTTCTTTGTATTCCCAGAGTTTAGCACCATGCCTGGCACATAGCAGGCGCTTAACGATGCTGAGTGACTTCCTGGCTGCACTGTTTCTCCCACTCAGGGCCACCCTCCAGGTGCTACACCAGGCATGTGAGATGGCACTGGGCAATGGCCTGGTACCCGGAGGCAGTGCCCTTGCCTGGACTGGCTACTACCAGGACCGAATCACCTCGGACCAGAGCTGCCTCAATGAGTGGATGGCCATGGCCGATCTGGAGTCTCTCCGGTCTCAGCTGCCCAGTGCAGACTCTAGTGGGTCAGTGCTCTTGGGGCAGGGAGGAAGGTGGGGGGAAGGGATGATGTGGGCCGTGGGAGCTGAGGAAGGCCAGTGGGCAGGGGCCGGGGGGGACACCGGTCTGATGGGCCCCCCCTTAGGCACTCTGAACGAGACCAGATGGAACAACTCATCCTGGCCGAGCTGTGGGATGTGTTAGACACCAGTGACCTGGAAAGTGTCACCTCCAAAGAGGTAGGTGGGAGCCAGAGCCAGCCTGCCTGCAGCTGGGAGATCCCAGGCCTGACTGGGAAGTTTCCTCTGCTGGAACAACTCTCCTCAGACCCCTTTGCCCAAAGGCCTTGGCCCCACTCCTGCCCCAACAAGTGAGCGTTCCCTTCTGTGTCTCGGTCTGGGCCTTTGCCCCCGGGCCCTGGGGAGGGCTGATAGCTTGAGTCCTGCTTGACTCTCCCTAGCCACGGGCCTGGCCTGCTCCTATCCTGGACAGGCCCGCGGAGTGGGCAGGGCGCCCTTACCCACCTACCGTGTCTTGGCTCTCCCTTGGCCCCCTCCCCAGATTCGCCAGGCCCTTGAGGGCCGCCTGGGCTGCCCCCTGCAGCAGTACCGAGACTTCATTGACAACCAGATGTTGGTGCTCATGGCCCAGCGAGATCGCGCCTCGCACATCTTCCCCCACCTGTACCTGGTGAGCTGGCCGCTGACTGGGACTGGGGAGGGATGTTGGGGTTGGGTGGGGACCTGAGGAGGGAGGCAACCACTCGCCGCTCCCTTTTTCACAGGGCTCTGAGTGGAATGCAGCCAACCTGGATGAACTGCAGAGAAACCGGTAAGGGCTGAAGAGCTGTGGGGCACCTGGGCAGTCATCTTGACCAGTACCCTCAATTTACAGAGGGGGAAACTGAGGCTGACTCCCCCGCCCCAGGGCCCATCGTCCCGTCAGGCCAGCTTCCCTCTCCGCCTGTCACAGCCTCCTCCCAAGCCTGCTCCTCCTTCATCTTCCATATTGTGGAGGCCACCTCATTGGGCTAATTGACCTCTTCCTGGCTCTTCTACTGTTCTGTCTTACTTCTGCCCCCACGGTGAAGGAAGATCAGGCAGAGCGCACAGTTCCTAGGCACTCTGCAGACCCAGGGTGGTGGCCCCTGACGCTGCCTTTTTCTACCAGAAAAAGATTTCTCTTGATGGCCCCTCTCCAAGAAGGCTCCAACTGGAAGCTAGCCACTAATCACCTATTTATTGGTAAAAGCCTCATTTGGCACCAGTTACAGAACAGAGTGAACAAAAATGCCAACCTAGAGGCGACTTCCTAAAAAACGCCAGTATCTCTTGCAGAATAAGCGATGGAATGTCGGAGCTGGAGGAAGCCTGCAGGAGGCCCAGTAGAGGTGGGAACAGAGGCTCCAGAAAGGGAAGGCACTTGACCAAGGTCACACAGTGTGGCCCAAAGGAAAGAACACTGGCTGGGTGTCAGAGGACCTGGGTTCCAACCCTGCCTCTGACACTCATCATGTGGGTGACCTTGGGCAAATCCTTTCTGCCCCTGAGGCCTCACTCTCCTCCTTCTTGAGATGAGAGGGTTGGACCAGATGACCCCTTCCAGCCCTGGCATGAGCACCTACGACCAGTGGCTGGAGCTGGGGCTCTGCCTCCCTGGCCAGCTCACTTAGCATTGCAAGCAGTACCTTCTCTTGACTTGTCCGTTAAGGCTTTATTGACGCCCTTTGTTTCTGACATCTCCGTTCTTTCTGGGATGCTCCGTACCTTTGCCACGCTGAATCTGTTCATGGGCGTTTTCAACAGAACTTTCGCGTTTTCCAGCTAAGCTCTAAAATGGTTTTGTTGCACCCTCCAGGCCTGGCCTAGCTGGGCCTTGGGCCGGTCCCAGCCTGGTCCAGGTTCCCTCAGGCCCAGCCCAACATGGCCTGGCTTCTCCTTGGCAGGGTCAGCCACATCCTGAATGTGGCCAGAGAGATCGACAATTTCTACCCGGAGCTCTTTACCTATCACAATGTCCGGCTCTGGGACGAGGAGACAGAGCAGCTCCTGCCTCACTGGAAGGAAACTCATCGCTTCATTGAGGCCGCCCGGTGGGTCAGGCTCCCTCCTCCCCCACTCCTCCCAATCCAACTTCTGCTAGGCCTGGCCCCAGCCAGACATCCACACTCCCCTCCCTGCCCCGCTTCAGCCCCATCGCCTCCCCTGCTCCTCCCCGGCTCCTCCTTTTTCAGCACCAACAGCCAGGGTCAACAGCCTGGCCTGCTGGCCCTGTGCACCTTTCTGGCCTCTGGTCAGTGTCCCCAGAAGCCAGGCAGCCAGGCCAGACTAGGGGTGGCTGACCAAGACGACCCTTTGCACAGGGCCCAAGGCTCCCGTGTGCTGGTGCATTGCAAGATGGGGGTGAGTCGCTCAGCCGCCACCGTCATGGCCTATGCCATGAAACAGTACAACTGGGGCCTGGATCAGGCCCTCCGGCACGTGCAAGAACTCCGCCCCATTGCCCGGCCCAACCCCGGCTTCCTTCGGCAGCTGCACACCTACCAAGGCATCCTCACAGCCAGGTACCAACCGCGCGGGGAGGCCCAAGGGGGGTAGCTGGAGAGCAGAGAGCAGGGAAGGGGTGGCCCAGTCACCACGCTCTCTTCCTTCTAGCCGCCAGAGCCATGTCTGGGAGCAGAAGGCTGGTGGTAGGGCCTCCCCGGAAGAGCCTCTGGCTCAAGAGGCCTCCTGGTCACCTCCCCCACCCGCCCTGGAGCCAGGGGGCAGCGGGGACTGGAAGGCTGCAGAAGGGGAGGGGCAACCGGGAAAGCGGATAGAGGGGCCTGGCCCAGAGGGGCTGAGACCCCGGCCCCGCATGGACCTCCGGGGGATCATGAGGTCCATCAGTCTGCTGGAGCCCCCAGACCTAGGGAGTCACCCCGAGACCAGTGATCTGCCAGAGGTGAGCATAGTGGGGCACCTCCAGGATATTGGGGTGTGGTCATTCAGCCAGTCCTCCAGCTAGAGGCATTGGGGTGCGGTGAGTGACAAGCCAGCCTCAGCCTCTGTCCCGCCTCCAAGTCACCCCGTGCAAGCCACAGCGTCTCATGCTCAGGTGGGAAGCAAGTATCTGCTTCGGGAGAGGGAGTTGTCTCACCGGGAGTTCCCTAGGCCAGTGAAATCATAGGAGGAAAAACAAAGGCTTTACCCAGGGTGCCCCCTCCTTCGTTTCTGGAGCTGGGGCTCCAAATGGAAGGGGCTGCCAACACCAGACAGCCACGTGAATTCACTGGTGGACAGGTTGAGGTCATAGGTGGGCAGCCGAGCCAGACTGTCCGCACCAAGGTCAAAGATCAGTGTGGGCTGAAGGGCTTGAAGAGGTGACAAGGATTGTTGGGCCTTGAACCGTGGGGGGCCAAGGGGCGCCATGAACAAAGAAGGGGAATCGGGAAGGGGCAGGACGGGCTCCTGGGAGGCGAGGGGCCGGGCCTGGCCTGTGGAGCCACGCCAAGATGGGGGCAGGCCGGGGCCAGATGCCTTTCTCTTCCTACATCCGTGCAGGTTTTTTCTTCTCCAAACGAGCCCTCCGGTGAGGCTCCCTCCCAGGCTTCCAGGGACAAAGGGGAACCGCGGCCCGCCCTGTTCCCCCGAAAGTCCGTGGCCGCCTTGCACAGCGCAGCCCTGGTGGCCAGCCGGAGCCAGGCCTTCCAGAACCTGGGCCAGGGGGAGCCTGTGGATGTAGCTAAGCCCAGGGCCCGGAGGATGGTGAGACAGGCCAGCGTGGAGAGCAGCGGAGAAGAGGGGGGGCCCTGAGCCCTTCCAGACACTAGGACGAGGTCACCAAACAGAGGGACCTCGCACTCCTCCTCCCACCTCACCCCCTTCGCCCCTGGCCTTCAGCCATCACCTCCACTGATAGTACACTGATGTCTTCCCAGGGCCTAGGCCTTACACTTCTCTCCACTGTCCATCTGGGGCTGGGGGCAGGGGGAACCTCTGGCCTCGAGACCACACGTGGCCCTCTAGGTCCTCAAGCATGGCCCTTTGAATCCAAACTAATAAAAGGATTTGTTCTGCAAAACTTGGGCTCAGTCAAAAGCCATCCCCAAGGACTTAGAAAGGCCACGTGTGGCTTTTGGGCGGTAGGTTCCCCACCCCTGATCTAGGGAAAGGGAGGCCAGGGCACAGGATTCTGCAGTATTTTTGTCTGTAATTAAGACCTCAAAGATCCAGCCTTGGGCCCCAAGACCACCTGCCCTGGCCCCTGAGCCTCTAGTGGTCTGTGGTTTTCCCTCCTTCCTAAGGGGAGTAAGTCACTCCCTCCTCCCCAAGCTGGGGCTCCCCAGGATTTAGCCAGGGTCATCTGACAGAATCTCGAAGGGGCAGGGGACTCATCTCCTAGCCCCTCCCCCCAAGGACACAGGGCATTTTCTGTTACTACCAGATGGAGGCATTTCAAGGCCTGGACACCCTGGACACCAGGGCCAAGGTCACAGCCCAACTGTGGCTGTCTGCCTCAGGCCCACCCTTCACAGCTAGCTCGAGTCTCTTGCTGAGGCCTCGGTCTGTGGACTCTTCATCCTTGGAGGGACAGGTAGCTCAGGGGCAGAAGGAGAAGCCCACCTAAGTCAGCCGGGATGGGGGCCGCTGTCTCCTTGGACTCTCCAGTCTCCCTCCACCTCTGGGCTTCTGTAACTTGGGTCACCAGACCATGGGCCAAGGGAGGCCCGAGCTGCTTTTACACACACACACACACACACACACACACACACACACACACACACACACACACACACACACAAACACACACACATGCTGCTTTCCTCCCCCATTCCTCATTAGCTAGCCAGTATGTTCTATGGTCTTTTAGTTATATGGCTTTTTATTTAGGAATAAAAAAATGAAATTTCATATTAAATTATTTTTCATTTTATGTGATAATGTTTCATAATCAAATGTTTATACTTGGTTTACAAGGGAAATCGTAACTTTTTGGATGATTTGGGTTAGGGAACCTGCAGCTTCGAGGCCACAGGTGGTGCTCTAGGTCCTCAAGTGTGGCCCTTTGACTGAATGCAAACTTCACAGGACAAATCTCCTTCATAAAATGATTTGTTCTGTCAAACTTGGACTCAGTTAAAAGGCCACACCCGAGGGCCTAGAAGTCCTTGAGACCACAGGTTCCCCCCACTGTAGACATTCAGAAGTTGTTTTTTCTTGGCTCCTCCCAATCTCCAATTGCATCTTCACTGGCCTCATTCATTCATTTGGCTAGCATTTATTAAGTGCTTACTGTATACCAGATATCATGCTAGATTCGAGGAGGATACAAAATAAAAAAAAAAAATAACAGGCCCTGTGCTCCAAGAGCTTATGTTCTATTGGATGGAACACCACATGCAGACTGGGAAATAACAAATAAGTGCTGGGGGGTGGGGGGTGTCCTTCACATACCCTGGGCTCTGGGTGACAGACCCAGAGGTCAATATTTGCTTACCTTCCTTCTGGACAGTGATGGCATCTTGGCCATTTTCCCAAAAAGGAGTCAAAAGGGTCTTTGAACAAACACTGTGCTACAGTGGGAAAAGCCTGGATTCGGAGTCCAAGGACCTGAGTTCAAATCCTGATTACCCATCTGGGTAGCACTTTGGGAAATCCACTTCCCCTCTCTGGGCCTGAGTTTGCCCATCTGTAACATGAGGGGCTTGGATTAGATGGCACCTAAGGTCTCTTCCAGCTCTGGGACTGTGATCCTATGATAATCATGCCCTTATTTTACAGCTGAGGAAGCTGTGACTTGCCTGAGGGCCCAGGAAGGCCTGAAGTCTCCTCTCTAGCAGGATCCCTCCTTTGGGGCTTTCAGGAGAAGTGCACATTGAAACTGGTGGCTGAGAGCATACCTGTGTTCTTATAATCGCAGCCTATGGCTCTTCAAATCCTCTTTTATCAGAATTGGACAATGCCAATCTGCAGGAGACTTTGCAAGGCACACAGGGCTCTTCTGGTTAATGATTACAAGCAATAATAATAATAATAACAGCTCGTCGGTCTTTCACAAGGCAGCCCGGTATGATGGAATGAATGAGTGTTTTGGTTGTATTTGGAATCAGAGGGCCTAGAATCCAATGCTGACTGCTGTTCATGACCTGTGTGACATTTCAGAGCATCACGTCACATCACATCAGTTCCCTGTAGCATGAGGGGATTGGCCTAGATGTCCTCTCAGGCCCCTCACAGCTCCAGATCTGGGATCCCTTGAACTTGCATCTGGAGAGGACTTTCTAAAGACCTTTCACCCCATTTATCCAGTTCTGCACTTCCAAAGACATAATCTATGGTACCCTCCCCCAAAGAGGGCATGTTTTGAACCCCACCAAGCCCTAGCAGATGGGCTCTATGACCTGCTCTGGCAAAAAAAAAAAAAAGAAAGCTATCCCCTGTGGGGATAGCTTGTCCCAGGCACCCTCAGGCAGAGCCCACTGCTGATACTTGGCCTCTTCCCCAGCAGGCATAGCCTCGTAAAACTCAGGATCACCCAGAAAATGCTATCCACAAAGAACTATGGAGGTTGAATGCAGATCGAAGCACACTATTTGCTATTTTTTTATTCTGTTGTGTTTTGTTTCCTCTTTCTGGTGGTTCCTCCTATTGGTTCTAATTCTTACAACATCACTAATGTGAAAATATGTTTAACAGGAATGTATATGGAGAGCCTATATTAGATTGTGTGTCATCTTGGGGAGGGAGGTGGGGGGGAGGGGGAGAAAAATTTTAGACTCAAAAACTTACGGAAGTGATTGTTGATAAATCAAAATAAATTAATTTAAAACACACAGACAAACTCTGGATCACCTCCACACCAGGACCAGGCAGTGAAGAGAAAGACGTTAATAGCTGAAGGCCTGATGTTACCTGGGAGGTGGAGAAGGGTGGAAAGATCACTAGACCAGGAGCCGAAAGACATGGATTCGTGCCCCTGCTCTGCAGAAGGCCCCTTCCTTCATGACCTAGGATAGTCTGTTAACCTCACAAAGTCTCAGTGCTGTCCCCTGCAAAATGGGGCTATTTGCACTATTCTCCACCTGAGTAAGGAAAGCAAATAAAAGTGGGAGTCAGTCCGAGCTGGCTCACCTGTGGATTTTTCTGATAAACCCTTTACTGCCCATTGCACCCTAGGAGAGGATTGAGCCCTGGAGGGTGGAACATGGGAGAGGCTCTAAGGATGAGGCCCAGTGTGTGTGTGTGTGGGGGGGGGCATCCTGAGGACAGTACAGAGCACCTGGGAGAAGTCAGGGATGTTTAAGGGACAGGCCTCCAGGCAAAGGAAGAGAGAGAAGCGCTCTCTTGTACCAGTATTTGACACTAACAAGCAACCTCTCCCTCTCTTCTTGATAATTTCTCTTCTCTAGGCTTCCAGGACACAGCCCCTCGAGGCTTGTGACCTCCTTCTTTGTGCTCTATGACAGCTCCCTGCCTTCTTCCTGTCCCTCCAAGGCTCCATCCTTGGTTCACCTCTCTTTCTACACTCAGTCGCTCAGTGATCTCATCCTGCCTTCAATGCTGACTCCTGTCTGTCTGCGCCTCCCCCTCACTCCTCCTGGATGCGTTGGGGCACCCCAGCTACTCCCTCAAGGGAAAGCAGCAGCTTCCCCCAAACCTGCGCCCGCAGCCACCTGCCCCCAAGCCACCACCTCGGAGTCCCCTACAGCTGCCAGAGAAGTTCCTTCTTGCCTCCACACCATTGCCTCCCTAAAGCCCCAACACGCTCCTCTCTCAAAGCCCAGGCTCGGAAGGACCTCCTTGAGCCGCTGGACCAACGCACCCTGACAAGTGATGCCCGCCATGACAGAAGTGAGCTGTCATCTCCCCAGGCGGTCGCTCCATTCCCCTGGACAGCTCTCAGAGTTAGGAGCCTTGTCCTGCAATCCAGCCTTAGATGACCTCTCTGAACACTGGAGGTGGCACTGGGGAGGGGTTGGAGGAAGCGTGAGATTAGGAGCCAGCAGGCCAGATTTAAGGGCTGGCATTGCCATGAATTCACAGGGTTTCCAGAGGCAAGCCAGTTCTCCTGAGCCTCAATTTCCCCTTCTGTAAAATTGAGGTAGTAATGCACCATTCATGAATGGTGCTCCTTAGCATCCTCTGTGATCCTGGGCACGTCACTAACTTCTCCCAGCCTCAGTTTCTCCTCCCTGTAAAGTGGGCATGATGATGCATTTGTCTTGTTTTGTTTTGTTTTTTCTGTTTTATTTATTTCTTTTTTTCTCTTTTTTTATTAATTTATTTTGATTTATCAGCAATCACTTCCATATGCTTTTGAGTTGAAAATTTTTCTCCCCCTTCCTCACTCCCACCCTCCCCAAGACGGCACACAATCTGATATAGGCTTTACATTTACATACCCATTAAACATATTTTCACATTAGTGAAGTTGTAAGTAAAAATTAAAACCAATAGGAGGAACCATCAGAAAGATGAAACAAAACTCAACAGAATGTAAAAATAAGTGATAGCAATTCGACTTCCTAGTTCTTTCTTTGGATGTGGACAGCATTTTCCATCACGAGGCCTCTGGAGATGTCTTAGATCCTCGTAATGCTGAGAAGGGTTCACTTTAACAATCTTAGTCATCGCATAACGTGGCTGTTATTGTGTACAAAGTCCTCTTGGTTCTGCTCACTTCGCTCAGCATCAGACCATATAAGTCTTTCCAGGTTTTTCTGAAGTCTGCCTGTTCATCATTTCTTATAGCACAATAGTATTCTATTACATTTCTATACCACAACTTGCTCAGCCATTCGCCAATTGATGGGCATTCTCTCAATTTCCAATTCTTTGATGCATTTGTCTTGTAACAGTATCCACCCTAACACCTGGTGATCAGGCAGGCACTTCACTGGGCCTGTTCTTGGCTACGCCAAGCCTGAAGCTCTGCCCACGATGGGATGGACTCCAGCAAGCCCCACCTCTGGACTCGCCTTTGGCCACCCCCCCAACCCCACCCCCCCGCTCCTTCCACAGCCCGCGAGTGCCATCTTGTGTCGGAACCTCGCTGCGGACAGTCCCACGAACTTCATTTCCCAGCATCCTCCTGCTGTTGGGGAAGGTGCAGGCGCAGGCGCAAAGGACACCTGCCTCGTTACCATAGCAGCCCCGCTGAAGTGCTGGGGAGCAAGCGTTTGGCCGAGGCCGGGCCAGGGCAGCGGGGCCTTCGAGGGGAGGTCGAGTCACGAGCGAGCGAGAGAACAGCCGGCCAGGCTCTCCTCAGAGGCCGGGGAGAAGGAGCCGGAGGCGGCGGCGGCGCATCCCCGAGCCCACCCGAGGGTCCCTTCCGGGGATGGTGGGTGTTGCGGCCGCCACAGCGCCCCGTGTGGGCCGGGGGGTTAGCGCCCGGACGAGCGGGCGAGTGAGCGCGCCCAAGCCCATTGCTCAGACGGGAGAGCCCAGAGCTAGCCTGGACCGCCTCCCATCCCTGGGGCCCGGTTGCCTCCTCCGTGAGGAGTAAATGAGATAAGGCCGAGTGTGAGGAGCTTTGTCCTGCTCCAAGAAATGTCAGCTGCATTGTTAAGTATCACTGGTGGGTCTAGGGGCTGGCCGACCCTGGGATTTCATTAGCACAGGACACTTCCAGAGGAGGAAACTGCCTCCGCCAATGCAAGGCAGCACCTTCTCTGCAACACAGATTCTTAGAGACTTGCCAGAGGAGCTAAGTGACTTGCCCAGGGACCTACAATCAAGCTGTGTCAGAGCAGTGGACTTAAGCCCAGCCAGATTTTTTCTGCCTTTTTTATACACAATTTCACTCTGCCTCCTCTTAACGATTATTATTAATAACAACAATAATAATAATAACTGGAAATTATCTTAATAGTCATCTGAGTCACAGAGATGGAGACTGACTTGAGGAAAGTCCCACAAGTAATACATGGCAGAGCCTGGATTCAAACCTAGGCCCTCTGCCTTCAAATCTAGTGATCTCTTTTAGCAGAGTTCATGCCATTTTACTTCCATCTCCCTACCATGCCCCTGCAGCTCCAGCCTCCTTCACCTCCTGAAATTTGCATTCCCAACCAGTGACCCTGGGCTTGTGTTTGGTGAACTTTCACTTGATCTGGACCTTGTCAAAGGCCCAGCTCACCACTTTCTGGCAACTGCTCTCCTATGCCATTACTTTTCCCTTCCTCCTTTTCCAATTCTAACAATTCATGTCTCTCCCTTTTAATATTCCCTTTTAGTGCCCTGAGGACAAGGAGTTGTCCTGCTTGCTTGTATTTCTATCCCCTTTTCTTAGGACAGAGCCAGGCACACAGTAAGTGCTTAATAAATACATTTGTACTCATTCAAATGTCAGGGTAACTTCACCCCTGCATAGTCTTGGCTTCATCTTTAAAATGAGAGGTCAGTCTAGGTGAAGTCTAAGATCATAAGATCATGATTTTTAAGGCCTAAAAGGGACCTTAGATTCCATAACCTACACACACACACACACACACACACACACACACACACACACTTTTAAAGATGAAAAAACATTTAAATTAACTTAAAAGGAACCAAAGCCCAGAGAGCTCAGAAAGGGGAAGTGACTTACCCAGGTCACACTGACCAAGGATTCAAACCCAGGTGTCTCAGCAAACGACTGCACGCAGTGCTTAATAACTGCTTTGCTGATCATCTCTCTCCAGACTTCAAGTCCTGTTTTACTATACTGCATTGCCCCTCTAGTGCTTTGGTGTCTTCCCTGTTTGAATCTACGATGTGGTTTGAAATTTGCTGTTTTCAGTTGTTTCTGATTCTACAAGATCCCATGTGGGGTTTTCTTGGCAAAAATACTAGGATGGTTTGCTATTTCCTTCTTCATCTCATTTTACAGATGAGGAAACTGAGGCAAACAGGATTAAATGACTTGCCCAGGGGCCCGCAGCTAGGAAGTGCCTGAGGCTAGATTTGAACTCACGAAGAGGAGGTTTCCAGACTCCAGGCCTGGTGCTCTATCCACTGCACTACCTAGCTGCCCAGAGGTTCAAAATACTTGGGATAAAGTAAAATAATTAAATTTATTGACGTATGCAATAAACCTCACAACTTTTTTCCTTTAGAAACAACCCAAACCTTCAACATACAATATGTGTTTATGCCACTTGTTTTATACTGTTTGGTGTCGTATTCACAAGATTTTGACACCTTCTTTATCATGAAGCCACACTTTTATCACATGAAGCTACCTTTCCAGATATTGCATTGATCATGTAGCCCATAGCTCTTTAAAAATTAATGTCTTTTTAAAAATTCTAATTTAGCAAGCCCCCCAAATTGAGTATTTCCATAAACAAGGTAAACCATGAAAGAGGATTATATAGGAAACTACGAATCCAGTCTTCCACTGGAAGCCTTCTCCAACGCCTCTTAATTCTAGTATCTTCTTTTTGTGAATTATTTCCTAATTAGCCCGTGTAGAACTTGTTTGTTCATTTGTCTGTTTCCTTTCCCATTAGACTGTAAGCTCCTTGAGGGCAGGAACTGTCATTTGCCTCTTTTTGCATCCCCAGAGTGTCACACAGTGTTTAGCACATAGAAAGCACTCAGTAAATGCTTATTAATTGATTGACTGACAATTTCTATCCCATGCTGCTTCCTTTTTTTCTTTTCCTTTTTTTTTTTTTGACTAGGCAGTGGTGTTAAGTGACTTGCCCAGGGTCACACAGCTAGTAAGTGTTATGTGTCTGAGGCCGGATTTGAACTCAGGTCCTCCTGAATCCAGGGCCGGTGCTCTATCCACTGTGCCACCTAGCTGCCCCACTGCTTGCTTTTTTAAAAGTACATAATAAATTCAGCGTATTACTCTCAAAAGTATCCACTTGTCTGTGCCTCCTTTTCAACGTCCTTCTGTTCTGTTCTGTGAACTTTATTTTATTTTTTTAAATGTACCTCTTATTTTTTTTCTTTTTGTCAATTAATACACTAGTAATCACTTACAATTTCCCCCATTTAAAAAAAAAGAAGAAAGCAAAATAATACACACGCATAGTCAAGCGTGTGGGGCCCTTAGGTGGTGCCATAGTGCACAGAGCCTGAAGTCAGGAAGACTCCTTCCTGAGTTCAAATCTGGCCACAGACACTTATGAGCTGTGTGACGCTGGGCAAGTCACTTCACCCCGTTTGCCTCAGTTTCCTCATCTGTAAAATGAGTTGGTGAAGGAAATGGCAAACCACCCCAGTATCTTTACCAACAAAACCCCAAATGAGATCACAGAGAGTCAGACATGACAGCAAAGTCAAGTAAAAGAAATTCTTCCACATTGGCTGTCTAAAAACTGTCTCTGTCAGGAGGTGAATAACACAATCATCACAGTATTCCTGGAAACACGGCTGGTCATTGGATCGATCCGAGTCCTTAAGTCCTTACTTCAGCCGAAGCATAATCAGTTTTACTGAGTTTAGCCTGTCATTTTCATCTCTGTGTGAATCTTTGTTTCAAGTGTGTTTCTTGGAAACAACATATTGTTGGGTTATGCTTTCTTTTGTGCATTTAACACAATATTATGGCCCTCTTTTTTTTTCCCCTTGTCTTCTCCTCTTGGCATAACTGTCCCCAGCCCTTCTCCCCCAAACCTACCCCCAGGTAAAATGTCTAGGTGAGCACCTTGAAGCCATCCCCTCCTGTCAGTAGGCAGGCGACATGCTTCATCCTTGGTCCTCTGGAGATGCAAGTAATCATCGCTTTGATCAGAGCTTTTAAGTCTTTCAAAGTTGTTTTTCCTTCCTGTAATATTATTGGAGTGGATTCGATTTCACAGAAAACTCCACCAGAGCCTTTCTGTGACGAGAATCCTTTCTCTGTTGCTGCAGAGAGGAGACTGTGAATCGACCGTGCAGTGGAAAGAGCCCTGTCTCTGGAGGCGGATGCTGGGTTCACATTTTGACTCTAACGTGTACTGCTGGTATGACTTTAGGTGAGTTGCTGCATCTTCTCAGGCCTCAGTTTCCTCTTCTGTAAAAGGGTGTTGGACTTGATGACCTCTAAGGGCCCTTCCAGCTCTTGGTCTGTGATGTCACAGCCTGGTAGATTTCAAGTTCTAGCGAGTTGGAAATGTGTGTCATCTGGGACCGGCCCAGCAGAGCATCCTGTCACAGTATGGCCCCAGCAATTGGTGGAAGTACCTTGCCTAGTTCTCAGAGATCTGTCATCCTCCTAGAGGGAGGGGTCCAGATGGGGCAGGACTCACCCTCACTGTGAACGATGACTTCTATTTTTTTCAATATGTTTCATCAGGGCATCAGGTACTTCTCCCCCTTCCCCCATCCCATGGCACAGTCAGGTACAGCAGCTGTAATGCACGTACATGCACACACCCGCGTACGCACATATACACATAAAGAGAGAGACTGCATCTCAGGTGAGAGAAGGAAGTGGGTTCCACCCTCAAGGTTGGGTAGAACCAGCTGTGGTCACTGGAAAGCTCCCCTTGGTCCGGGGCAGGCAGGCCGTGCAAGTGGGAGCTCTGATTTTACCGGTGATCTCCCTGAAGTCACAGGAAGTGACTTGGCCAAGGCCCTGAGGGACTGGTAATAGCGTCCACTGGGAAATGTTTTACATAGGGGTCCTATTTGTTCTCACCACAGCTTGGAAGGGAAGCTGTGCGATTTTACAGATGAAAAAGCAGGCCCCCAGAGGGGAAAGGGTTTTGCTGAGATCGGAAAACCAAGCAGGATAATAATAGCATCTGACCGTTAGGATATTGTTTGATCCTCACAACAGCCCACGGGTAGATGATGAAGGGTCTTCTTCGGTTTATGGAGAAGGAAACTGAGGCACCAAGAGCATAGCTCGCATGCTTGTCTCTCTGCACGCGGGCGGCCCAGCGGGGCTGCTCCCCCCCACGTCCCGTGACTTCAGGGCCTTAGCCCAGTGGTTCCCCTGCTGGGAATCTCCCCTTTCTCGTCTCTGCCTCTCGGAATCCTCAGCTTCCTACCTGCCCTGCCCTCCCCCCCCCCATGTCTGCTCCAGATTACCTGGAGTCTGTTTTCTCTGTGTAACGGGGGCCTGGCAAAGGGAGGACAGAGCTCCACTGGCCGTGCCCCTAGTACATGCATATTTTACATTTTGGGTATATATTGTTTCCCCAGCAGAATGTAAGCTACTTGCAGGCAGGGACCATTTTCTCTTTGAACCCCCCACACCTGGCACCCTGACTGGCACATAGCCTAGTAAATGCTTGTTTCATGGACTGATTATCCAAAGTCACAGGGCCAGCAAGAATTGGAACTGGGAGTTGAAACATAGCCTTGGCCTTCAGGTCTAGGATTCTTTCTGCTCTACTGTATTGCCCTAGGTGACTGACCACCCTGAAGTGATTCCCACCTGGGAGAAGGAAGGGGACTGCGTGGGGGAGGGCTGGCAAAGAACCCCACCACCTGGCACGTAATACTGGATTCTAGTCTCTGTGAGATGGGTGATGTCCTGCCCATTTTACAGATGGGAAAACTGAAGCTCAGAGAGGTAAATTCACACTATTCTCCCTCATGCTTTCTAATTCCAGTTAAACGGGACTGCTTGTAACTCCCTGTGTACAGCATTCCATTTGGGTTGGAACCCTGCCATACTTGGGAAAGCTTCAAAAGGAGGATGTAACACAAATATCCCTCCAAAAACTTTTCTGCTCAGGATGCCCCACACTGCCAAGTCCCCCTCCTTGCACAACTGCCATCAGGCTGGAAAAGAGACAACTGATAATGGCAAAACAGATTTATTTTTATTTTTATGAACTCAGGAAACACCAAGTGAAGTGGGTGTTTCCATACTTGTAATTAACAGAAGAAGATTATACGTGGCACTGTGGATATCTATTCAATGTACAACTTGCTTTTTAAAAAACAGAGATAATTTCAACATGTAACTTTCATAGCTGGCGTACCTGTCTGTGATTCCTTTCATCCTTCTATGTTTTCTTCTGTGTATTTTTAAAAAGATGTTTTAGTGACCCTTTTCACTTTCTTTTTTTTTTTAACCACCATCTCCCTACATCCCCCTTCCCAATAGGAAAAAAAAGAGAGCACAAGAAAAGCCCTTGTGACAAATCTGCATGATCAAGGAAAAAATGCCTCCCCTGATGGGGTCCCCCATGTCCGTGTCTCCTTCTGCATCTTGAGTGCATTCATTGCTCTCCCTCGGGAGCAGGCTCGTCCTCTGAAGTGATGGCTGCTCATTGCCCTGATGTGAGTCCCTCTGTCTTTCAAAGCTGTTTCTCTTTATGCTGTTGGTGGTGGTGTATAAATCCTTCTCCTGGTTCTGCTCGCATCTTTTGCATCAGTACGTCAGGTCTTCCTAGGTTTCCTTGGAACCATCCTTTTCATCATTTCTTATGGAACAGTTATGTTCCATTACATTTCTATACCTTAATTTGTGCCGCCGCCCCTCAGTTGATGGGCGTTATTTTCAGTTCCTTGCCACTACAAAAAGAGCTTCTATAAATATTTTTATACATACGGGTCCTTTTCCTTTTTCTTTGATTCCTTTGTGGTATAGGCCTGCTAGTTATACCTCTGGGTCAAAAAGTGGCTGTGGGTATACACATGTATACATATACTCATGCATATATGTACATATGCACAATGCAATCATATAGTCAGTTTCATGTTTTGTGATTTTAGTTGACATTTGTCATAGGTCACACCTTTTGATTCTTTTCTTGGTGAAAGTATTCATTATAGAAAAACACAAGACTTCTGTGTGGTCTACAAATCACCGGCACCTATCCTTTGTGACTTCTGAACCATATTTTCCAACATATATATTTAAAAATTTTTATTTAAAGTTGAGTTCTCTCTTTCCCTTCCTCTGATCTCCCACCCATTAAGAAAGCAAAAAATGCAATACCCATTGTACATATGAAGTCATAAAACACATTTCCACATTAGCCATGATACAAAAGAAAAAAAGACAAGAAAATTTTTTACAAAGTGAAAGAAGATATGTTTCAATATACACTCAGATCATCAGTTCTCTCTCTGGGGGCAGCGGGCATTTTTCGTCATGAGTCCTTTGGGATTGTTGTGGATGATTGTACTGGTCAGAGAAGACACGTCTTTCACAGCTAGTCGCCACTGCGGTAGCGCTGCTGGCGTGTACGACGTTCTTCTGGTCCTGCTCACTTCACTCAGCATCAGTTCATCTAAGTTTTCCCAGGTTTTTCTGAAACCATCCCCTTTGTCATTTCACGTAGCACAATGGTATTCCATCACAATCCTATGGCACAACTTGTTTGGCTGTTCCCCAGTTGATGGGCATCCCTCCAGTTTCCAATTGTTTGCCACCACAAAAAGAGTGGCTGCACACATTTTTGTACTGCATTTGTTTGTGTGAAACCTTTTCAATTGAACGTAATCACAATGATCCACTGTACCTCCCAGATCTCCTCTATCTTGTATTTAGTCATAGGCTCTTCCCTTACCCAAAGATCTGACGAGTCATTTTTCCCATGCTCCCCTCACCTGCTTATGATATAACCCTTTATATCTTAATCACGTACCCATTTTGAGCTTGCCTGGGTAAATAGTGTGAGATGTCAGTCGGCCTCTGCCTAGTTGCTGCCCGGCTGTGTTACAGTTTTTGCCAAATCGTGAGCTTGAATTGTTGGGTTTGTCAAACGAACGCCAGGTTGCTGTGTTTATTTACTTCTGTACATTGCGGAGCTAATCTGTCTTATTGACTGACTTCTCTGTCTCTTCTCAGGTGCCAGACTGCTTTGATGATTACACCTTTGTATTATGGCTGGAGAACAGGCACTGCCGGGGCTGCCTCGCTTCACTCTTTTTCATCGGCTCCCTTGGTATTCTTGACCTTTTCTTCCTCTAGATGAATTTTGTTATTATTTTTTCTAGCTCTATAAAATAATCCTTTGGTAGTTTGATTTGTATGGCACTGAATGAGTAAATTAATTTAGGTGGTGTTGCTGTTTTTATTATATGGGCTCGGCTTACCACGAGCAATTAATATGTTTCCAGTTGTTTAGATTTGTCTTTATTTGTGTAAAGAGTGTTTTGTAATTGTGTTCGTTTAGTTCCTGTGTGCCTCTCTTGGTAGGTGGATACCCAAATATTTTATGTTGTCCACAGGTATTTTAAATGGATTTTTTCTTTCTGTCTCTCCCTGCGGGTTTTATTGGTAATATGTAGAAAGGCAGGTGATTTATGTGGGTTTAGTTTATATGTTACAAATTTGCTCAATTTTTTAATTGTTTCAGTTAGGTTTTTAGTTGACTTTCTAGAATTCTTTAAGTAACCCTCCTATCATCTGCACAAAGTGATAGTTTTGTTCCCTTGTTCCCTATGCTTTCTCAATGTCTTGTTCCTGTCATTGCTATAGCTAGTACAATTCTAGTACAATATCGAATAGTAGTAGAGGTAATGGATATCCTTGCTCACCCCAATGTTACTGGGAAGGGTTCTAGGTTGTCCATGTTACGGATAATGCTTGCTGTTGTTTGGATAGATACTACTTATCATTTCAGGGAAAGCTCCATCGATTTCTGTGCTTTCTAATGTTTTTAAGAAGAATGGGCATTGTATTTTGTCAAAAGTTTTTTTCTGCATCTATTGATATAATCATATGATTTTTGTTCTTTTTGTTATTGATATGGTCAGTTATGCTTATAGTTTTCCTAATACTGAACCAGCTCTGCATTTCTGGTACAAATTCAGCCTGGTCATAGTGAATGATCTTTGTGACATGTGGCTGTAATCTCCTTACTAGTTTTTTATTTTAAAATTTTGCATCAGTATTCACTAGGGAAATTGTTTTCTTTAATTTTCTATAGTTTTCTTTCTCTGTTTTTGTTCTCTTTGGTTTTGGTATCAAAACCATATTTGTATCATAGAAGGAAACTGGTAGGACTCTTTCTTTACCAATTTTTCCAAACAGTTTATATACTGTTAGAATTAGTTGTTCTTTAGATGTTTCATAGAATTTGCTTGTAAATCCATTTGATCCTGGAGTTTTTTCTTTAGGAAGTTAAGGCTTGTTCAATTTCTTTTTATGAGATAGGGTTATTTAAGTATTCTATTTCTTCTTCTACTAATTTGGATAATTTATATTTTTGTAAATGCTTATCCATTTCATTTAGATTGTCAGTTTTATTGGCATATAGTTGGGGCAAAATGGTCCCTAATAATTGCTTTAATTTCACCTTTATTGGTTGTGCATTCACTCTTTTTATTTTTGAAGCTGGTAATTTGGTTTTCTTCTTTCTTTTAAAAAAGTTACCAAATGATTTATCTGTTTTGTTTTTTCTTTTTATAAAACCAATTCCTAGTTTCATTTATTAGTTCAATGTTGTTGTTGTCGTTTTTAAATTTTCAATTTGATTAATCCTTCCTTTTACTAAAGTATTTCTACTTTGGTGTTTAATTGGAGATTTTTAAATTTATTCTTTTTCTAGTTTTTTTTTTAGTTGCATGCCCATTTGTTGATCTGCTCTTCTTCTCTTTTACTGATGTAAGCTTATAAATTTTCCCCTGAGTACTGTTTTGGCTGCATCCCACAAATTTTGGTAGATTGTCTCATTGTTGTCATAATCTTTAATGAAATTATTGATTGTTTCTATGATTTATTCTTTGACCCACTCATTCTTTAGAATTAAATTATTTAGTTTCCAATTAATTTTTAATCTTTGCTTCAAAGATTTGTTTGTGAGGTTTTTGTGTCCTAATACATGGTTAATTTTTGTAAAAGTGACATGTACAGCTGAGAAAAAAATATATGCTCCTTTTTATTACCCATTCAGTATTCTCCAGAGATCTGTCATCTCTAATTTTTCTAAAATTCTATTCATCTCCTTAGCTTCTTTCTTGTTTATTTTATGCTTAAATTTATCTAGTGCGAAGAGGGGTAAATTGAGGTTCTCCGCTAGTATGATTTCACTGTTTCCTCCTGTAACTCATTTAATTTTTCCTTTAAGAATTTGGATACTATGACATTTGGTACATGTATGTTCAGTATTAATATCACTTCTTGTCTATTGTGCCTTTTAGCAGAATGTAGTTTCCCTATCTCTTTTAATTAATACTACTTCACCTGGTGATCTCATCAGCTCCCATGGATTTAATTACCATTTCTATGCTGATGATTCTCAAATCTACCATTCCCAATCTCTCTGCTGACCTCCAATCTCACATCTCCAATTGCCTTAAAGACACCTCAAATTAGGTGTCCAATAGATATGTACAAAACAGAACTCATTATCTTTCCCCCTAACCTCTCCCCTTCTCCTACCGTTCCTATTACTGTCATGGGCAACACCATCCTCCCAGTCCTTCAGGCTCCCAACCTAGGAGTTATCCTGGACTCCTCACTCTCTCACCATCCATATCCAAGCTATTGCCAAGGCCTGTCAGTTTCACCTTTGTAGCATCTCTCAAATATACCCCCTTCTCTCCTTTAACTCTGCCACCCCCTGGTGCAGACCCTCATCACTTCACACCTGGGGCTATTTTAATAGCTGCTTTGTATATATTTGCATGTTATCTCCCTCATTAGATTATAAGTTCCCTGAAGACAGGGACTGTTTTTTGCTCCTCTTTGTATCTCCAGCACTCAGCATATTGCCTGACATATAGTAGATACTTAATATGTTTTTTGATTGATTGATAAGGTCTATTTTTGTTTTATCTTTGTCTGAGATCGATTGCTACTCATGTCTTTTTTACTTCAGCTGAGGCATAATAGATTCTGCTCCAGTCTCTTATTTTAACTCTTTGTGTTTCTTTCTATTTCAAGTGTATCTCTTGTAAACAATATATTTTTAGATTCTAGTTTCCAATCCATTCTCAATCCACTTCCATTTTATAGGTGAGTTCATACCATTTACATTCATAGTTATGATTGTTAACCATGTATTTCCCTCCATCCTCTTCTCTTCTATTATTTTTCTTTTTTTTTTAACCCTGTCTCCCCTCAAAAATCTGTTTAGCTTTTGGTCACTGCTTCTCTTAATTTATCCCCTCTTTTTTCTTAGTCTCTTTCCCTTCTACTTCCCCATTGGATAAGATTAATTTCTATAAGCAGCTCTGTGTGTGTGTGTGTGTGTGTGTGTGTGTGTGTACACATACATATATACACACATATATATTTCCCTCTTTGAAGATGAGAATAAGGTTCAAGGGGTGCCTTCTCTCTTCTCTCATTTTCCCCTCCACTGTAAAAAAGTCTTCTTTGTGTCCTCTTTCATGTGAGACCATTTCCCCCATTTTTCCTCTCCTGTCCTTCTTTTCCCAATACATCCCACTTTCTCACCCTTCCATTCTTTTTTCAGGATCATCACAACGTAATAGATTCATATTCATGTTCTGTGTCCATTTAGGTGCCTTATAACCGCCCTAAGAGTGATGAAGTTCTTAGGAGATCATCTTACCACAGTGGATGTAAATAGTTTAAACTTATTATGTCCTTTATTGCTTCTGTTTCATGTTTTTCTTTTTATACTTCTCTTGAGTCTTGTGTTGGACTGTCTAATTTTCTATTTAGCTCTGGTCTTTTTTTTTATCAGGAATGCTTGAAAGTCTTTCTGTTTCATTAAATATACATTTTTCCTCCCTGTAGGATTATACACTCCTTTATAGTTACCGATGCTAAATGTCGTGTGATCTTGACCATGGCTTCATGGTATTTAAATGGTTTCTTTCTGGCTGCTTTCAGTAGTTTTTCCTTGACCTGGGAGCTCTGTAATTTGTCTATAATATTTCTGGGAAGTGTAGTGAATTTGTTCAGTTCCTGCCTTACCCTTTAGTTCTAGGATATCTGGGCAGTTTTCCCTTATAATTTCTTGAATATATGATGTACAGGCTTTATGTTGGATCATGACTTTTGGGTAGTCGCATAATTCTTAAATTATCTCTCCTTGATTTATTTTTCAAGTTAGTTGTTTTTCCGATGAGATATATCACAGGGGGCAGCTAGGTGGTGCAGTGGATAGAGCACCGGCCCTGAAGTCAGGAGGACCTGAGTTCAAATCCAGCCTCAGACCAAACACTTAACACTTACTCGCTGTGTGACTCTGGGCAAGTCACTTAACCCCAACTGCCTAAAAAAAAAAAGATATATCACAGGTTCTATTTTTTTTTCCAGTTTTTTGAAATTCTGTTTCTTGGTGTCTCATGGAGTCACTAGCTTTTACCTCACCAATTCAAATTTTTAAGGAGTTATTTTTTTCAGGGAAGTTTTGTTTCTCTTTCTCCAAGCTGTTAATTATTTTTTCATAATTTTCTTGCATTGTTCTCTTTTCCCAATTTTTCCTCAACTGCTTTTGATTTTTAAAAAATTCATTATTTTCACTCTTTTAAAAAAATCTCTTCCTTTAGCACTTCTAGGAATTTTTGTTGGGCGTCTGTCAACCTGCACTTTTCTTTGAGGCTTTGCTTGTAGATGTTTTTAAGTCAGTCTTGAGCTTCCCTGTCTCCATAGAAGATATTTGTGGTCAGATTCTTTTCTTGTTGCTTGCTTGTTTTTCCAGCTTATTTCTTGGCTTTAGACTTTATGTTAAAGTTGGGCTCTGCTCACCCCTGGGGGGAATGGGTGGCCAGAACTTCTATGGCTCAATTTGAGGACCTGAATGGTTTTGGTTTTTCCAAGGGAGAGTTCTGGTCACTCCCTCTGGTCTGTACTCTGGTCCTTACCCAGGTAAGGCCTCTGCTCCCTCACAACAACAAGCCACAACCACTCTTCTACACTCCTGTGTTTCAGAACTGGTCATGGGCAAAGATGCTGCTAAGTGGTGCCCAGGGCTTGTGCCCAGTGTTAGTACAGGGGTCCTCTGAATTAGCCTTCTGACCAAGAGCTTGATTCCCTTACCACTCTTCATGCCACCATTGCTACTGCTGTTGCGGCTCTGACTCTCGAACCCACAGCCAGCACTGCATAATCCCAGCCAATCCCTACCCCAGTGTTCACAGGCAGGCTTCTCTTTCAGTTCTCCTGAGCTGTCCTGGGCTGGGAAAATGAGAAAGTATGTTGTTGTTGTTTTCTGTTATCCCACTCAGAATTTGAGTTGAGGCTTTAAAAACAAAACTATTTCGAGGGTTCCACTGGGGGAGCTGAGCAGAAATGCTCAATTTCCTCTGCTCAATCCCCTCCAAAATATCTGTCCTTGTCCTCACCAATGCCACCTTGACACCCCAGTCATTGAAGATCAGAGTATATAGTGACTGAACTCGGAGAGTCTTTTTTTGTTTTTGTTTTTTGTTTTTTTATTTTTAGGCAGTTGGGGTTAAGTGACTTGCCCAGGGTCACACAGCTAGTAAGTGTCAAGTGTTTGGTCTGAGGCTGGATTTGAACTCAAGTCCTCTTGACTTTGGGGCCAGGGCTCTATCCACTGCACCACCTAGCTGCCCCCCCAGAGAGTCTTTTAGCCTTCTGTACATACTCTTCCTCAGAACACGTGGTGGCATCATTCATGGTATTTCTGCAGATACTTCTCACAACCACTGTTCAAGATGGCCAAATTTGCCATGAAATGATTTTTCTTGTTGCTTTGTGATGCACCGTGTTCCGGTTCCACCGACTCCTCTATTTGCCTCTTCAAGGAGAACCTGTGAGCTGTCCTCCCACTTAACTGCAGCTTCCTTTAAGGCCTTGTGGTTTATCAACAGGTGTGCCTGTGATCACTGGACGGTGACCTTATGTTCAGAGAACCAGCGGCTAAGTTTTTGTTAGAGCTGCTCTGAAAACTGGGTAAGATGTACTGCGTTCTGCCCCTTGGTCACATCATTGCAGAAGGATAAAATAGAGGACCACTTGTGTCTTTCTTTCTCATGAGTTGCCGTGGCTGAGGTCATTGCCAGAAGACCAGCTTATTAGCAGTGAGCCTCTCTTTAATGAGGCTGGTCCTCAGAGAGTTAATACAGTCTCTTGCTGGGACTATAATCAGAACTTCTCTTGCATGGCCAAACTTCCCAAAGAACCTAGAACCCAGAGTCACCTCCACATCACAATGTAGCATCAGAATAGGACTTGATGGAGGTAATGGCCTAGACTTCAGGCTTTTTCAGATATTTGATAAAAAAAAAAGATTCCCACTTAATGTAGTTGCACTCATTTTGTCAGTGTAAAAGTTTTTTATTTGTGTTGTTTGAATGTTGCCCCCTCCCCTTTTTTAATCTCCTCTGTTGCTTTTTTGGTTATAACTGCTTCTCCAACTAAAGATCTGAAAGGCTTTTTTCTTCTCATTTCTCTGTGCCTCAGTGGCACCATTTGCCAGTTCTTTCGGTACCCAAAGAGAGAGTTCACCTGAACTTGGTGATGTAAACCCAGCTCAGGCTGTTGGAGGGCCTCACATTTTACTGGGTACCCACTCCCTGCTGTTCACTTTTATTCTGACCTTTCCCTGTCTCAGAGATCATGTCTAGGGGAGAGAACACAAGAGTAAAATGAGGACTGAATAACTCTGCTTTCTCCTGGGACTCATTTTTCTCCTAGCCACTCCTCTTTCCCCTAATGTTGCTCAAGGACAACATCCCATCTTGGGCTCAGTTTTCTTCTCCAGCCTTAGCTCATCTTTGCTTTAGCATTTCTGACAATATTCTTACAGGGCTACCCCAAGTTTGAGGTTTTTTTTTTTTGCTTTTCATGACAAAATGTTGTCTTCATCCTTTGTTACTTTCTTTGATTTCCATCTTCTGTGCTTGTACTTTAAAAAAAATCTAAGCTGGTTGTAGAATCATCTGTAGAGGATTGTCATTCTCCTCCAGGGGTGAGGAACCTCCACTGGGCTTACTCCATTTTTCTTGCTTCCTTCCTTATCTCTCTTTGTTTCTTCAGAATTCCACCCTTGAAAGCATCTCATCCTCCCTGGGCTGACATCTCCTGTAGAATCTGAGTCAACGGGAATTGACTTCTCCTTTGAAATCTACTCTCCCCATACCTAGTTAATATTTCTGATTCTGCCCAGCCCTCTTGTCCTTCTCTGTCAGAAGCTCTGAGGAGCAGACATTCCCCTTCATGGTCCCCATTATGTCTGCCCCTCTTTGTTGGGGAGAATGCAATCCAGAGGAGAATTCCTTCTGACTTGAGGCAGGTAAGGAAAGGCTGTGCTCTGCCTCTGACTTTGGTGGAGAGCTCGAAGCAGATATACACATAATGGAAGTTCCCTCAAGCTACTGCTTCCTAGCTCTGGGCCAAGCTCCGGAGGGCTCTTCAACTTCTCATTTCTTTCCCCTTCTGTCCAGATGGTCTGTGGGATTCTCAGATGATGACTTCACATCTGGTTCCACCTCTCTTGATCCTCACTTGAATCTGCTCCCCTGTGCTGTGCTTACCCTCCCTGCTTCCTGGAGTTTCTCGTGAATGAAGGAATGAACACATGAACATGAATGAAAAGGCATTTTTATGTGCTTGCCATGCTCACATGAGGCTCTACTTTATGTAAGATGCTGCTCTTCCTGCTCACAGGGATATTTTTATTCCTCATGTGAGGAAATCTCGGCACAATAGAAGGAGTAGTCGTCTACTCCCTGTGCCAAGGGGAAGTCAAGGCCCAGCTTCCTGGAGACCAGGTCTTGGCACCATTCCAGTCTGGGGCATCGTGCATCCTGAATAACACCTTAGAAGAGGATTGTAAACGGGGAGGCAAGTGAAGGGTGTGGCTTCAGTCTCTAGCAGGCTCCACGCAGCAGCAGAATGCTTTGGGTACCCTTGGGAACAAGGACAGTGCCTTAGATTGACTGAGAGGTTGGCAAAGTTTACTTATGGGGGAAATGAGTGGATCACGGTCGCCAGTATGCCTTTCCCTGGTCCTCAATCTTGATGTTATCTTTGCCTCCTCCCCCTCCCCCCAGCTTCCAAATCTTCTCCCTCCATGTTAGTGCCCTCATTTCCGTTCAGATAGCCAGTGAGTGCCCTAGTTCAGGCCCAGCTCCGATACTCAGTAAACTTCCTCGGCTCCCTATAACCTCTAGAATAGAGCTCCTCTGGGCAGTGAGGTGGCACAGTGGATAGAGCACTGGCCCTGAAGTCAGGAGGGCCTGAGTTCAGATAGGGCCTCAGACCAAACACTTGACACTTACTAGCTGTGTGACCCTGGGCAAGTCACTTAACCCCAATTGCCTATAAACAAACAAACAAACGAATGAATGAATGAATGAATGAATGAATGAATGAATGAATGAATGAATGGATGGATGGATGGATGGATGAATGAATAAATAAATAAATAAATAAAAAGTAGAATAGAGCTCCTCTGTTTGGCCTTTAAAGCACTTCATAACCTGGCCCCACCTTTCCAGTCTAACCCCACCTAACACCTCTCCAGGCACTCTCCTGGCCAGCTAAACTGCTCTGGCCCTTACTGACACACAGTTCTCCATCTGCCAACTCCAGGCCTCACCCCCATGTCTTGGAACTAGACTCTGCCATCTCCATGAAACTTCCTAATTTCCCCATCCCCTCCTCATACGAAGCACATACAGGGCATCCAATGGGGTAGCCTTGGAGGTGGCTTTGTATCTGCTTTGTTTGGTGTTGTATACACCCGTGCCTGATGGATACTGTAGACACCCACAGCTGCATGGATACTGTACACACCTGTGGTGGGATGGATACTGTATATACCTATGGCTGATGGATACTGTAGACACTGGTAGCTGATGGATACTGTAGATACCCACCCCTGGGTAGATACTATATACCTGTGGCAGGATGGATACTGCATACACCCGTGGCTGATGGATACTGTATACCTGTGACTGGGTAGATACTGTACACACTTATGGCTGATGAACACTGTACACACCTGTGGTGGGATGGATACTGTATATACTCTGTAAATACACCCATGGATGGATGTTTTCCCTCTTACCCCCATGTAAACTCCTCAAAGACAAAGAGCATCTCCTATTTGGATATCCGCGTCATAGTGAGCACTTTACAAGTGATTTTCAACTGATTGTTAAATCAATTTATCCGTGGTGGGATTACTGTCCCTCCAAAGATACAGATCCCAACCCATCTGTGCCTGCCCATCCCATGTACCTCCTGTCCATGGTGTGGCTATGGGACATCCACCCAACGTGCTGGGGGCATTCCCTCGACATCATGAGGGTGACAGGGCAGAACTCTGGCTGTCTACCTATCATCCTTTGCTCTCACCAGGTAACCAGCTTATATTCTCTTTCTGTCATACAGTTCCTCAATGACATCCTGTCCACTTCTTGGGAGTTCCTCATTAATATATACAAAATTACTACAAGGTAGTTATGAGAGAGAGGGCTTTCATTACTAGTTCACTCAGCTAAAATATAGTGAGGACCCACTGTAAGCTTGGCACTGTGCCAAGTGTTGGCGCTCTAGAGAAGACTTCGACGCCACCACTATCCCTACGGAGATCGATGGGGATCAATGACAAACATTCCCAAGTGGATGCCGATCAGCTGGGGATGGCCTCCCAAGGGGCCAGACATCGGCACCTTGTACTGCGCAGAAGGTGAGCACACGTGGGAAAACTGGCCAGGGCTGACGGAAAGCCAAGAAAATGGAACCAAGACAAAAAGAGGTAGAAGGATGGCAGTCACATAGATGAGAATGACGGGGAAGGCAGGTGACCTCAGAGCGCTCCCGATGCTTACCCTTGGCCCAGGCTATCACAGGCTTCCAGACCTGGTGGCTTCATGGGTCTGCTGGGCCCCCACAGCCTGCTTTGTTACAAAGGAGCCTTCGGGGCTGGACAGGCTGCGGGATGGTGGAGGGCCATAGTGGAGAAAGAACAAAGAGGCTCCAGTACAGGGCTGTGGGGCAGAACCAACTTCCAGATTTGCCCCCAGAGGGGCAGCTCGCCGCATTCCTGGAGGGCAGAGAGGGTAACCTCCTCACACTTATAGAGAGGTAGACTCTTATTACCTTCATTTCAAAGAGGAGGAAGTTGAGGCTCAGGGCTCCACCATAGGTCTTGTGACTCTGATCCATTGTGTAACTACAGAGCTTGTGGCCTTCCCAGAAGTGGATGCCAGTAACGTGTCAGTTTGTCACCTTGGGCTCAGCCAGGCTCTTGATGGGTCCATCCAAGTACAGTCTTTGGGTTGGAGGGTGAGATAAACCTCAGATGGACTGGGTAGGGAGGGCAGGGCCATTGGAGGAGGCCATCCTATAGGATTTCCTGCCTCTTGCAAACCCATCTCAGGCAAGCGTCTTATGGCCCTCGACATCCTGCCACAGCCACTAGTACACCTAGCAATAGCTCCAGTAAGACTGAGGCAGAACTGAGAGGGTGGGTGTGGTGAGGGCAAGGCCCCAAGTGCTGGCCTACTTCAGGCCAGAGATGTTTCTGGGGGATAGGTGAAAGAGGCTGTCATTGCAGCTGGGGGCAGGGTTCACCTCTCCTCTGTGATCTGCCTGCAGACAGCCTGGAAGGCAGGGAGCTGGGCCTGCCTGGCCCAATCAGAAGGGCGACTGTCTGTCTCTCCAGGCAACCTAGCCCTGCTACACAGCACCTTCTAGTATAGCGAGAAGGCCATGCCTCCTCTTTGCTTCTGGTTCTACCAAGGACTTCAGGATCTTCTTTTCTGCCATTCTACTAGCCTCTCAGTGACTGTGGAAGCCTGGCTGCCCCTCCCTCCCCATAGTCTGTGAAGCTATTTCCCAGATCCAAACCCTTTCCTTCTCCAAGTTTCCTTACCATGTGCATAATCAGTGCTCCACCTACCCCATCCCCACCCCTCAGGATTCCTTTGCCCTCTGCCAACCTTAAGTCATTTCTTATGCCAGGATAGAAGTTTCAGGGCAGGGAGTTGCACTGAAGTGGCATTTCTTAGGGTCAGTGGACAGATGTACCTTAGGCAGTGGGCAGACATAGCTTGGGTGATGAAGGTTGACTCGTCTTCACCTGTAATTGAACAGAATGGGTGCTGGCATGAAGTATGGCCTACGTGGCATGGCCCAGCTTCAGCATGAGCAGCCATGTGGGCAGGAGCTGGTACAGCAGCTGTCGGCTGAGGTGGAGGTGCTGTAGGCAGCCATGGAGTGGGCACCGCCCCACCCCACCTGCCAGCCTGCCTCAACCTCACCCTCCACTTCAGTCCCTGCTCAGTCATCTCTTCCGTCCCCCCTCCCTCCCTCCAGGGAGTGAGTACCAGTGGTAGTTGCTGGCCTGTGATCATCATGGCCTCAGGTCAGGGCACACCCCCTGCCTGGGCCTGGGATTATCACAGCTGGGCTGACACCCCTAGGACAGAGGCACTTGGGCTACTCCTTACCTGAATGTGAGGACAGAGACTCAGAGTGGGAGACTGAGAGATGGAAGGACTGGGACATGCACCAGAGGAGAGGAAAGCTTTCTTTGAGTCGTGTGAGAGACCTCCTGCCTGACGCCATGTTGGGATGTTCCTGGTAAAGACAGGACAGACACGTGATCATGAGAGGGAAGGCAGGGGCGTAGTGGAGAGGACCCTGGACCTAACTCAGAGGCTCTGCCCCAGCTGTGTCACTCATCTCTCCAGGCCTCAGAAAAGATAAAATGCTTGTGAAAGGAGGGTGTTGGGCAAGGTGCCCTGAAGGTCTCAGTGGGGGAAGAAGAAGCCCAGCTCCACCAAAGCTGGGTGCAGCCATCATCGTCATAGCAGGATTTATAGAATGCTTTAAAGGTTGGTGAGGTGCTCTACAAATATCTCATTTGAGCCTCACTACAACCCTGGGAGGAAGGTGCTATTAGTCTCCCTTTACAGATGGGGAAACTGAGGCAGGCAGTGGTGAAGTGTCTTGCCCAGGGCCAGTATGTATCTGAGGCTGAATCTGAACTCAGGTCTTCATTGCTCTCTCCACTGTGCCACCCAGCTGCTTCAGAAAAAGAAAGTTGACAAAGTATTTTATGTGGATTATCTCTTTCAATCCTCACAACAACCCTCTGAAGTTGAGCCAGCCACTGATAAATATGTCTCTGATAGGATCCGATGGAGGAGAACAGGGGCATGGTGAGAGGAGAGATAGGAACTCTAGGGGCGAGGGGGGGGGTGGAAGGGGGGAAAGGAGGTCACTTCGAGGTCAGTGTCAGAGGAGGATCTGGGGCCTTCATAGGAGGATATTCAGGAGCCTCGAGGCCCCGGGCCTGGACTACCTCAGAGGAGATGACTGAGCTGGGACTGAAATGGGCGCCCATGACCAGGAAGCAGGGGGAGATTGGGAATTCCACCAGGCCCGGAAGTAGCCCCTGACCTAGCCACCTCCAGCCAGGAGAAGCCCTTCGCTGGGCAGCCAGAGTGCCAGGAGCCTGGCCTGCTTCCTGGGGGAGCCCGCTGACTGCTTTGTTTTGTTTACCTTAGTTTCCCAGTAGATTATTCCCTTAAGCCTTTAAGCCACTTGCGGGCTTGTTAAGGAGAAAGTAGGCGTTTCCCTGGCACCAAAATGTTGGTAGAGGTATAAATCTGTGGGATCCTTTGGACACTAGTCTGGCAAGGTGTTACACCTCCAGACTGCAAGGGTGTGAGATTTCCTCCCTCAGGCCGTGCCTTCACTGACCCAGGCCTCCACAAGTCTGTCAGCTGTCTTTAAGTCAGTACTGTGGTTGAAAGATTCCTCACCCTGCAGCCAGCCTGGTGATAACTCTCTAGTCCTGGGAACGCAGGCATCCGGTCCATGCCTAAAGCTTGACGAGGCTGTCAGGCTGTGCCACGAGGCCTTGGCACACCTCTGGGTCACTGGGAGCCACTGATGTCGGGCTTTAGTCAAGGACAGAACAAGAGAATGCTACAAAATTGATGACACCCTTGGAGCAATAATGTGGGTGACATACCCCCAAATCAACCAACAAGTATAAGAGGTTATATAGAGCATTTTAAGATTTTACAGATGGGGAAACTGAGGCAGAAAGTGCTGAAGTGGCCAGATAGCTCATAAGTGTACGAGGCTGGATTTGAAAACGGGTCAGAGGGCATCATGCTGGGAGCTCTCAGGGAGCTAACATTCTATTTGAGGAAGCAACATGTCCATAAATTAGTATATTAGAAGCATATATGAGATAAATACAAGGCAAATGTTTTTGAGGGTAGGCCCTTGCACGAGGACCAGGAAAAGTGGCATTAGAGGTGAGCTTTGGTGGAAACAAGAGATTCTGAGGATGTTGTTTTTTAAAAGTTTTACTGATAATTTTGATTTTTTTATGCCACATTTATTTCTACACCCCCATCCCCAACCCATGGACTCTTCCCTTGTAACAAAGAAACCCAAGGAGCCAAAGAGGAAATTTAGCGAGGTGTTTCCATGCCTGGGTCAATACTGCCGATATTATTAACTAAGATTTCTTTTTCTTTCTTTCTTTTTTTTTTTTAGTGAGGCAATTGGGGTTAACTGACTTGCCCAGGGTCACACAGCTAGTGAGTGTTATGTGTCTGAGGTTAGATTTGAACTCAGGTACTCCTGACTTCAGGGCCAGTGCTCTATCCACTGTGCCACCTAGCTGCTCCTTAATTAAAGTTTCAATGGATCACTATGGTCATATTGGCCGAGGTGATGGTAGTTCTAGGTCCTAGGAAGAGAATGTCTGAGAAGTGATGGAAGAGCTGGGAAGCATAGATTTGAGGCCCCACGGGAAAACTCTTTTCCACCTCAATGTCCTCATTTTCCTTGATGTCTTTGAAGAATTCGATATTCCTAACTGGCCTTATTGAATGAATGAATGAGTGAATGAGTGAAAAATAATTTATTAAGCATTTTCTACTATGTGCCAAGTACTGTTGAAACTCCCCCATTCATCACCATACAATGACTGTATTCAGTTCAATCCAAACATTTATTAAGCACCTACTGTGTGCAAAGCACTGCTCTATTGTGATTTTCCCACCACTCTGACTCTTCCTTCCTTCTCTTGTCTGTGTCTTCTCTTCCTTCTGCCACCTTGTTTTCAGAAATTCTCCAAGGCTTAGTCAAGGACTCTGTTCCTCTCTCCTCTTTCTTCCTGGGAGAACTTAGAACACATCCATTCTCAAGCTTCAGCTACCACTTTTTGCACTTAACTTCCAAATCATATTCTAAGATCTCTTTTCACTTGAACATTATACGATTATGCGTTAGGAAGTTGTAGCCAGGTGGTGGTTGGAACTCATGAATGGTTCGATTAATCAAAACTATCTTCTAAGGCGGGCGGGTCCTGATTTCCCATTGTCCCTTGCTTATTACTTTTGTTATCATTCTGAAGTGTGTCAAAGGTGGGAGTATTACCAGAACAGAACTACTGATTTTGGCCTTGAACGAATGAATAAAAGAGGATCTCTTAAGTGTCTTCTGTGTGCTGAGTGTTGGAGATAAAGTGATAAAGTAAGGCAGGCTTTTCTCTTAAGGAGCTCACATCCTAATGGGGGAAACAACTCATACAATAGGGCTCAGCAGAGAGTCAGCTGGAAAAACCCAGTAGTAAGGTGCAGCCACAAAGCAGATGGTCATGAACAGTCTTTAGTGTGGTTTACATTGATAAAAACCATTTGGAGATTCCAAGGCCTTTGTTTTCCCGCACCTGGGGAAGTGGCATGATGGCTGCGGACGTCACGTTGGAAGCTGGCCAGTGGTCATGGTCCAGAAAGGGTTTCCCACTGTTCCCGGGGCTCTCGAGTTCAGTAGGGGAGCAGTTAATATTAGCATTGTGGGGATGGCAAGCCTTTTCTCCACAGGGTGATAATGAACAAGCAAGATGGAGGAGGGAGGTGCCCTAAAATTGGAGAATCATAGAATCTGAGGGTTGGAAGGGACCTCAGTGGTCATCTAGTCCAACTGCTATATGAAAAACTCCTAGAGACGTGGGCATTCCATTCTTGCTTGAAGGTCTCCACGAGGCAGCGTGTCTGGATCTCTCCTTGCGTATTTGACTAAGTGACAGACTTGTCTCTCTTGTCCGTTCAGACTCAGACCCCCCCAAACTGAACCCGTCATTGGCCCATCCCAGCTTCCCCACGTTTGACTGTTGGTGCCGTCTTTCTCCCAGTCACCCAAGTGTGGAGACCAGGAGTCATCTTGGCCTCCCTGTCTCTGGCCCCTCACCCCTATGGAGGTGTCAGACCTTCTTTGGAGGCATTTCTCACACTTGGGTTTAAAAAACTAGCATTGCAAGTTAAAAATGAGAAAGGCATGGCAAGGCATGCCTGGAAGGGACTGGTTGGGGCTTGGTGGGCAGTCGTTTAATATGGGTCAAGAGTACAGTATAAAAGCCAAAAAAGCAAATTTACTCTTAGCCTGTAGTGAGTTAGGAATTGCAGGCAGGCAGATTGAGACTAGAGCTAGAAGGAAGAGAACAAGCATTTACTAAGCACCTACTATGTGCCGCGCGCACAACAACCCTGGGAGGTAGGTCTTATGATTGCTCCTATTTTGCAGTTGAGGAAACTGAGGCAAACAGAAGCTAAATGACTTACCCAGGGTCACAGGACAAGTAAGCATCTGAGGCAGGGCTGGAAAGAGGCAGATCTTCTTCTTCTTCTTTTTAGGCAATTGGGGTTAAGTGACTTGCCCACAGTTACACAGCTAGTGAGTGTTATGTGTCTGCAGCCGGATTTGAACTCAGGTCCTCCTGACTTCAGGGCCGGTGCTCTATCCACTGCGCCACCTAGCTTCCCTGACAAGGAAGGTCTTCTTGACTCCAGGTCACCTCACTGCCTCTGAAGACCACAGAGATCGTCGGGTCCTAGACCCTCACTTTGTAGATCAGGAAAACGAGGCCCAGAAAAGTTAAGTGATTTCTCCAAGGCGCCCCTCTTGCCTTTCCTGACTGCGCCCAGCGGCCTGCTTCCGCCATGGCATCCTCAGCCACCAAGGCCCTGGCATTCCCAAATGGATCAGTGTCAGAAACAGAAATGATTTGTATCAATGTAAACGACACTAAGGAAGGGTCATGCCCTTCTGCCCAATGAAGTATCCACAAAAAGATGTTGGATTCCATTCTCAGACTCTTTCTAAAGTCGTGGCCATTTCTGTGACGTTAACTCTCTTGGTCAGAGGCAGGCATGACCCTCTTACTTACAGGCGAGTTTTAATTTATGAATAGAAACTAAGGCTCACTGACAGCTCCAAAGGAACACTTATTTTTCTTTTTAAAAATTTTTAAAATTCATTTTGAACTTAAATACATAAAGACAAAGAAAAAGAACATTTCCATGTACATGGCACAACCTAGAAAGGGGATTCACTATGAAGCCGTGATTGCATTTCACATTATATACTGCTTTTGGAACTCATCATCTTCAAAGCTACTCTGTGTTCTCTGCTTCCTTCTATATTTTCTTTTACTGTCTGCTGTGCACTTGTTCTATTTTTTTCCTTCTACCCTAGAGATGGCTACCATTAGACACAAAGATGTATGTGTGTGTGTGTGTGTAAAGCCATACTATACGTACTTCTGTTTATCAGTTCTTTCTCTGGAGGCAGGCAGCACCTTCCTTCCTAGGTCCCCAAAAGAAGATTGATGTAAGGTTGAGCGGTAAATAGGCAGCTGTCATGTAAAAACTTAGCAGCAGTGAATGCTAAGCAATACTGATTGACCCTGAGCCATCTCGATTCCTTATTGAATGGCACTTCACGCTAGGCTGTTTTCTAGCCACTTTTGCAGGGATAGCTCGGCGTAAGGAAAAGCTCCCTGACAATGAGGGCTATCCCAGCATGGAATGAGCTGCCCAGAACGGCAGTGGGCCTTCCTTCCTTGAGCGCAGGTTGGAAGAACTGCTGCTGGCCGTGCTGTAGGGAGGGGTTGGACTCTCTCCTCCCGTGCAGATTGGCGCTCCGTCCACCAGAGACAGAATTGAGTGTGTCAGGCAGGCTGGGAGCTGAGGCATCCTGACCCCAAGGCTGATTGTTGCCTTTCATACACAACACAGTCACTGAAAACAGTGGGTGAATTAAAGAAGGACTTAAGTAGCCTCTCTGGGCCTCAGTTTGCTGATCTGTGAAAAACCTAGTAGTTCCAGCCCTTACAGGATTTTTGTGATGTCAGATGAAAAAGTGAGCTTCAGAGTTTTTGAAAAAGTGCAAGAACCATATACAAATACAAGAAATGATTAATCCTTATCCTACTCTCCCTTTATGTCTCCTGACTTCCTCTGCCACCTCTTGTGGGGGGAACTGCTGTTCTCCTCTCCCTGGCATTGCCTGAGCCTTGCCAGCTTATTCACGTGCCATCCTGGAGCAGCCCCAGCAAACTCCAGCCGTGCCTTACAGACTGTGACCCTCCCCTCCCTGACCTCCTGCCCCAATCTCCACTTCCCCCAAAGGCTGGAGATCTCCAGAACCTTGGGAGAGATTTTGGGCTCCCTAACAACCAGCCTCTGTCCCTGGGAGTCTTCCTTCCCCCCAGACTGGATTAGGCCAGGACACTGGAAGGATGCTGGAGGCGAGGTGCTTATCCAGGGAGAGAGTGCACCGGATACCAACCCTAAGAGGCCAGGAGAAAAGAGGGCCGACCTTTACTCTATTTGGGGACTGGTCTCCCTCCATCTTGCCCAGGCTGGAGGCGTGCTGGACACTTATCAATTAGACCCCACTGCTGAGAGAGTGGAAACTTTGACCTGCTCCATTTGCTCCTGGCTAGTTCATCCCTCCCTAGGGAGCCCGTGTCCGCTGCTCCCAGGGGCTCACTGTACTGGTGCTGGCCTTCCTGCAGACCCCCGTCTCTGCAGCTCTGGGGATGCCACAGCCAGCAGCAGATGACAGGTGAGGATCCCCCCCCCCGCCGCCCCGGCTAGGCCTGATGTTAGAGTTCTGGGGTCACACACACCGAGTAGGTAATTTTGGTAAACTGAAAATAAACGTTTGGTTCACAAAGGCATCAGAATGAGTTGTAGAGCACAGCTTCCATTGGCTCAGTGGAAAAGCAAGAGCCACTAGGGGGCGCCCCAAGCCAGTCTGGCTTGTGGGCGGAAGGGCTGGCGGTTTTCCCAGTCTGGCTTCCCCTTCTGAAGGTGGTAATAGGAAGTCAGAGCCAGAGGTGAGCCCAGCTGGGCACCTGTAGCCCGCTGGCTACAAAGCATGCGTGGCTCTTCCAGGGCATTAGGGCACCCTTGTCCAGGAAAGTGCCAAAAGAGGCAGGCGGTCACATTAAGGAAGGCGGGCTGCCAGAGCTGTTATCTTTTATTAGTATATCTCATTGAAGCCCCCTTCCCCCCCCCCCCGCAGGCTCAGCCCAGGATCTGCTTCTTAGGCACCCAGTGGGGGCCCCCCTTTGCCCTGTAGAACTCCTGTGGTCTACACCATCCTTTTCTGGGGACCCAAGTCAGGGATGGATGTGCCAGATGTCAAGAGGTCCAGGGACTAGTTTTCCTTGGGAGGCAGGAAGACTGCCTGCTGGCTTTATAAACACTCCTGATGAGCCAGCCTCAGCTGGCTGGCTGAGCTTGCTTGCTGGCAGGTCAGAGGAGCCCCCCCAACCTGGAGTCCTGAGGCTCTGGGAGATCTTTGCCATCCCAGCCTCCACCCCGTCCAGTACAGGGTTGTTTGAAGACACAGCAGTAGGGTCCCCTGTCCATTCGGAAGGCCCCTGGGAAAGCGGCATGGATGCACTGGGCATGACTTCTAGACTGATTCCTTAGATGGGGTACAGGTGCCAGAGGCTGCAGAGAGGAAGTAGTGGAGATGGGCCCAGGCAGCAGAGGGAGCTGCCCTGCAGCCCAGTGACCCAGCCCCTATGGCTCAGGCTTCTCAGACGCAGTCTGGGAGGGAAATGGAGCAAGACGGGGAGACCCCACCCCCTTCCCTTTGCCTTTGTCCCCTCTCTTCAGGTAAGGTGGCCATCAGTGCCCTGGGAGCCCAGCCACCATGAGATGTTATTAGGAAGCTTCTTTCTGACCCTGCTGTCAACTCTCCACTAGGGGAGGCTCCTGCCTATCAGGGAGGGGCAGACTGGGGAGAGGAGGCACTGCTGCAGCTTGAACTCTTCTTTCCTTGAACCCTGGTACTCTGATTCCCAGCAGCTCCCACCCCAAAGTCTGCTCTCACCTGCATTGATATTGGGGGTCTTCAGGGTGGGCCCACAGCACCTTGAGCACCTCGTGGGGAGGTTCTAGGCCCAGCTGCTCTGCTCGTTCCCATCGCTGGAGTCGAGTGATCCCTACCATAGAGAGAGGATGAAAGCTAGCACTCCAGGCTGGAGAGAGCTAGAAATGGGGTAACTGCCAGAGTGAAAGGAGGGCACCCCCAGAGAGGTGAGGGCTTTAGAATCAGGGAAGGGCCATTCAGGGCTCCCGGAAAGCTCTTACCTGTGCAGGGTCCAAAGTGCCTGTTCAGGTCAAACTGCCTCAGTATCTCTAAATGGGTTCTGTCCAAGTGGGCTGCAAGCATCTCCTCACCTGGCTCCTCCCCTAGCAAGAGAGGCTGTCCTTCACTCCCAACTCCTAGCTCTTTGGACCCCTGCCCTGAATCCCCCATCCCCAGTGCTCTGCATCCCTTTTTTCCCTACCCTTCACCCTGCCTGCCCCCACCCCCTTCCCCGCTTCCCTTTTCCCCCTTCTCCCATGCCTCTGTCCCCCTGTCCCCTCTGCCCCTTCCCCGGCTCCCGCCCCCATCTCGCTGCCCTCTCCCCTCTTGCCCCTGCTGTCCTCAGCCCCCCGCCCCTTGCCCCCACCTCGCAGCCTTGGCTCGGGCTCCCCATCCTCTTTGCCAGGCCCCGGCCCGCCCTTCCTCCTCTTCACTTTGGGGAAGGAGTCGGTGATGAGCCTTCTCTTCCGGCCCATGGCAGCCACCCAGGGGGGCGAAAGGCGAGGGGAGAGACAGCTGCTAGGCGGAGGACTGGGCCAGGGATGGACAGACTCGATGACCCAGACAGGCGGCTAGAAGGAGGAAGTCCAGCTGCTTCCAGGCAAGGGCCGCCCCCCGCCCCCGCCCCCAAACATGCCAACAGGGCCCGGCCAATGGCAGGCCGCGGACGGGGGGCGGGAGCCCGGCGGCGGCCAATGGAGTGCGGCGCAGGCCCAGGGGGCGGGGCCGCGGTTGAGTTTGGGAAGGAGAGATGAGTCTGAACCCAGAGCCCTAGGGTGGCCCAGTCGGGCACGGCGGGTCCCGCTGGACGAGGTCCGTGCCAGCCCCGCCCCCGGGCAGATGCGGTCTTCGTCCCCTTAATCCCTGTGACCGAAGGATCCAGGCTCGCGCATTCCTCTTCTAGTCCCATGGAGCTAAGGGGCGGGAGCTGGGGGGAACCAGGCGACCCCCCTCATCCACACCCCCGGCTTCCCCCGAGGCTTCTTTTGGGGGGGGCAGGAAAAGCGGCTCACTCTTAGCAGAGGAGCCCGAGGCGACCCACGCCTTGGGGGGGAGCTTAGTTTCCTGGTCTGTAAAATGGGGTGACTGCTCTCTGCCCTGCTGACCTCACGGGCTATGACGAAGATCAGATGAAGCAGTGGTCGTGGAGACTGGGGAATACGAAGGAACACGTAAGGGGTGGCGGTGCTGGTAGCCGCCGCCGCCACCAGCCTTCGTGTTGGGAGTGGGCACTTGGTGACTTACCTGCACGGAGACCAGACTGGGGCCGGCCTCAGGTCTAACAGGGAGGACAGCCGGAGGGGGGGGGGAGTGATCAGTGTCCCGGAGAGCTGGGAAGAGAATGGGTCAGAGTGGGGCAGACAGGGTTTGAAGGGGCGGGCTGCCTCCTAATCCTCCTTGGATTCCTTGGGCTCCATTATCAGTGAGGCAGCTCCTTAGCCCTGGCCTTCCCCTTACTAGCTTCTTGGCTACCCTGCCTTGTCGAGATGGAGGTCTGGGCTAGGGGACAGCATCTCTGACATTTGGGGGCAGGTCTCCAGTGTTGGCCCCTGGCACCTTGAGCACTTCGTTGGGAGGCTCAAGGCCCTCATTACTGGCATCCTTCAAGCCTAGGATGGACTGTGCTTGTCGGGGTCAGTGACACCTTAATAACCTCCTAGAAACCCCATCTCCATCCCATTGCTCCAGACAGCTTACTCCTGTCCACACCCTCTGTCCCAAGTAGTGCCTTAGCCCAGGGTCTGAGTCTGAGGGTAGAGCTGGAGCTGAAGAGGAGAGATGCTAAGGTTCACAGCCCTCAAAGCCTCCATTCTCTTTCCAGTCAAAGCTAGCCTGGTGTCAGGGATTGAACGTTAAGGAGAGGGGAATGCCAAGGTATGGTCCCTGCTTTCCTGGTTGTGGCTGACTCTCCCCACTGGGGGCCCTGAGGAAGGCTAGGGAAGAGATCATTGGCTTCTGGGGGAGTGCAGCCGCAGGGGGGAGCAATCCCTGCCTCATTGTCTGGGCTAACACCTTCTCTAATCCCCCACTTCCCTCTGGGTTGGGTGGAGCCCAACACTCAAGGAAAGGGGCGTGGTATCTGAGCTTGGGGTCTAATGAGGGGGGCATAGGGACCCCTCCCTTCCTAGAAGCAGGCAGGGAAGGTGGGCCCAGGTGAGTGGCCCAGCTTGGCAGTGAAGGGTTGTGTCTGGAATGGCTTCCCCAAGTTGTGAGCACCCCCTTTCCTCAAGGGGAGTCCAAACCTGGCCATGTTCCCAGGAGCATGTGGCTTCCTGGGGTTCAGGCTGCTGCTTTCACCAGCCTCTTCAGCCTGCAGTGCCCTGAGGAAATGGGGAAGCATGGGTGGGTCAGCCCCCTCCCCATTCCAGGCCCACCCCTGAAAGCTGATAGCCATGGGGCCGTGCCACCGCCCAGGAGCATGAAATGGGGTGTGCCGCTGGGCAGCCACAGCAGCTCTGGATCCGCCTGGGCCCATCCCCCCCTTTCTCTCTGATGCCTCTGGCACCTAGACCCACTCAGAACGTGTACTCTGACAATGTCCCTTGGGGAGTTCGTGGTTGCTGCTCCCTCACTAGTATCCACTCAAGAGGGCTTGCCTCCAACTTGCCAGAAGTTTAGGGGTCTCCCTTGGGACCTCAGCTTCCCCCACAGTCCAAGGAAGCTCTAGGCCCAACTTCTCTGTCCGGGGCTTGTTAGTGGCCTCTTTGGGGGCCTGAGAAGTAACCAGATCTCCCAGAGGTCTTTGCCAACCCACCGCCCTGGTCCAGCAGTGGGATCTAGTCTGGCACTAATAATAGTGGCTTACATGGATGTAGCTTCTTGACATCTGCAAGGCCTTCACATTTGTTGTCTCAAGAGCCTCACGATAGCCCTGTGAGGCAGGGGCTGTTATTAACCATTTTACCAATGGTGAGATTAAGTGCTTGTTTCCAGGGCCACAGAGCAAGAGTCAGGAATACAGGTGGAAATCCCTTCCTTCTTTCCAGAGATGGTGCCAGCTAGAATGCTGGATCCTACCTTCCACTTTGTGTCTTCCCTGGGCCCCTAAGGACCTTGAGTCAGCTCTGACACCTGGAGGCCACAGAGGGCTGTCCTTTGCCTCCCCAGCACCTTCTGGAAAGGCCTTGGGCTTAGGGCTGGAGCTTTCGTCTCCCAGGAGGGAAGAGGAGACAGACAGGGGGAGCCTCTCAGCCCTCAGCTCTCAGCCCCACCCGCTTCAGGGGAAGGGGGGATTAGTCAAACGATGCAGTAGGCTGGGGGCCCCCTGGCACTGCACATGCACCCTAGTAGCCTCCCACCCCTCCTTAAGGTCCCACTTTGGCTTTGGGGAAAGCCACACAGCTAGAGGGGAGGGAGTGTGGAGGGAATGAATTGGCTGCCAGGGGCCCCAAAGGACTGTGGGGCTTCTCCCCCTTTCTCCTCCCTCAACACCCCCAGCCCTGCAGGCCCCACCACCCACCCTGGGCTCTTAGAAATCTCAGATAGTGAGATTTCCCAACCCCCACTTCCACCCACCCCGGGCCTGCTCCCATCCCCTCCACAAGGGCCTCCCTCCCCAAGCTCTCCCTCCGTCTCAGTCCTAGTGGGTCAGTATGGACTACGGCCGACTCTAGGAGCCAGAGGCAAGGCCTGGGCAGGAAGGCCCTGTGTTCTCATCCGGTCTGCCCTTAGGTAGAATGCTCCTACCCGCCTATCCTCCTGCTCGAAATCTGCTCTTTCGAAGGGTTCTCCCACCTCTCTGACCTGCCCAAACCAAGGAGAGTTCAGAGCCCTTCTGACCATTCCCCACCTTGGCCGCCAGGTGTCAGGCATTGTCCAGCTGATAGGCGAGTCCTTGTTAACTCTTTCCCTCCCAGAGGCCTGCTTCCTCTGACAGAGGGCTTAGGGAACAAGCAGTATGGGACCTGGGATTGTCCCCAGTGAACTGATTCAGCCAGTGGTTCTAATGGCCGAGGCCATGCCCCTGTCTCCAATGTCCTCTAGTTACTCCCTTCCCAGTCTATAAAAGTCTTTGTCCCCTGCCAGGAAGTTGGGGGACCAGGCTGAGTCAAGGAGCAGGAGAGCCTGTAGACAAAGGCTGGAAAGAAAGGTGGCCTAGGGGGATGGTGAGCCCCCAGCATCACAGCCCAGCCAGGCTTGAGTCACTCTCTGAACCTTGCCTCATAGGCCAGGGAAAGATCATGGGACTCTGCCCTCTCCCCCTACCAGGGAAGAGCTTGAGGCCCACAATGAGAGGGTAAGGGCAGCAGTCTCCTCGGCCTCCCACTGATCCAGGCTAAGGAAGTGGTCAGGGCCAGACCTCATGGAAATTATGAAGCATGCCAAGTGTGCACCCCCCCCCAAGGTGGCCCAGCTACAGCTGCTGCCTCTTACAGATTCCCTGTAACATCTCCTCGAGTTCTCATCACCTTCCCAAGCACTTAGGGTGAAAACCTAGCAATCAGCTCCCCTAATCCGTATGAGTGAGAGAGGATGGAAGAGCCGCCTTCCCAAGGGACCCTTGGGCAGGTCACTGCACCCCTCTCTGGGTGTAAGGACATAGGGATAGATGATTCCTAATGACCTTCTAGCTATTAAATTCCTTGATTCTATCATCCCTCCCCCTCTCAGGTAACATGTTCACAGGAAATGAGTTTTTCTCTTCCTCTTCAGGTTGTACTCTATTTAACGAATTTATTTAATGACATCCTTGGAAAGAATGTATAATCCTTGGAGGGCAGGCTCTGGTTTTCATTTTCTTATCCTCATATCTCCAGTCCCTTGCACTTTTTTGGGGGGGGAGGATCAAGGACTGTGATAAACAGTGAAGGGAGTGCTTAATGTAAGACTCCCCATGCCGCCTGCAGATTTGCAGCTTGTCTGATATTCTGCTCTCAGAAGGCTGCTAGAAGGTCCCACAGCCAGGGTGTTGCTAAGGCCAGATGCCAAGGCTAGTCCTTTACTCACTACCTTTCACCTTATACATCAAAGTCACCTAGTAAATATTTATTGAATTGAATGGTCTAATATTGTCAGCCCTGGGCACAATTATAACATCTCTTCATCCATTAATATTCCCTTCTCCCTAGGTGGCACACCTGGGGGGCCATCTAGACTAGCCCCCCTCATTTTCAGGCTCAGAGAGGTGAATTGACTGGTCTAAGGTCACACAGACAGTAGGTGACAGGGTCAAATTTGACTCCAGATCTGATGCTTTCTGACCCTGCCTCATATCCAATAAGCAGTTGGAAGATACAGCATTGTATGTTGGGAGAGTGACCTGAGGGTTGCAAACAGAGCTCTAGACATCACTGGCACAGAGATGACGATTATGCATGGGAGCTGAAAACGGCAGATCTTTGAAAAATTCCTGGAACTGGCGGGAGGCCCTGGATGGTGACCGAGCCAAAGACAATGAGAATCACTCACGCAAGTAGAAGGAAAATGAGGAAAAAGTGGCATCAGAAAAACCAGGGGGAGTGTCAGGCAGAGAGAATGCCCAGCATTTAGGGTTGAGATGGGCCCAGAAGAAAAAGTCCATCTGGGAAGCCTCACATCCAGACCACATGGACAGCGCACCAAGAAGTGCATAAT